TTATGTCAAACGAAATATAAAGCATTATATAAACATTGTCAGCTGTAACTGAAAATTTCAAGCTAACAAAATGTGAGTTTAGCTGCAATGTTGATTTCACGTACTCTTGCAAGTGGAGAAAAACATTTCAACAAGTCAGCAAAACAGACAAATATGACATGACATAGTATATATAACAGTTTTATGTTCATATGCTAAATAATAACTAATTTTATTGCATATGTTACTATAATTAGTAATAAAAATGCGTTTCGTTTTTTTGAATATGACATGCCAAAATCCCATATTGAGGCTATTTCCGGTCATTACGCACCTGTTGTCAAGTAACGGCAGAACGTCCACGCGTATAGACGTTACGTTATTGACAACCGCATCGCAAAAATGGCCGTCGAGATGACGTTGATATCTTTTGCGAATCGCTCGATGGATTTAGATAATCTAATCGAATATTGTCTAGCACTTTATCTTAGTGGTATATTTTCCTGCCTTCCTAATTCTATAGTTAGTATATGGATATTGAATACAGGTAAAACAAATAATAAGTACTTATTGACGCAAAATGTATTAATGAAAGAGCAAAAATCGTTTAGATGAACAATGTGTATTATGAAGATAACAACAGCAAAAGATAATATTTAGGAATTGTTGTAATCTCTGACAAACCAGTTAATGAAGTTATCAGACGAGATAATTGACTAATGATTATATAACGCTAAGCTAGGCTAATAATACATTCAAACGATACGTTTAAATGACAGAATTTTATGTTATAATAATTACAAGTTAATGTAGTATTTGGAAACCAAATCCTGATATTCACTTGATAATGTTATGACCTTTTAACTTTATAACTTCAGAAACGTAAGTAGTTCCATATAAAATGATATGATTGGTGTTAGGATCTTTGATTGTTTTGTGCAATAATAAACTATGTCTTATGATAAAAGCAGTTTCTGTTCAATGCAATTCGTTTCCGTGTAACGATTAAATTAGTTTTCTTTAGTAATACAGTTAGGTTTATATTGTATGAATTAAATTAATTATTTTTTATATATCCTGAAACATTTATGTAGGAAAAAGTCTTCGGGTATCATGTTCAGTTACTATAGTTTAGTTCCTCGTGCTAAACACATTCTTGTATTGTTTTTAGTTTATCATTTGTTCCGCCTAAACTATCGAAGGAAATGGACCGGAAATAGATAAAAAAAGTCATACTTTGGTAATTCGTTTCCATGGAAACAATTGTTGTGGTCACCATATTGGCCTCATACTGACAAACATGCGAAAACATTCAGAAAATGTTGAACCTTTCCTGTCATCGGTTTACCTATTGTTTCCTCATCACTGAAATTGATGAGAAATTCATGTTGCAGACGTTATTTTTAGCGACAGATGAGCTTTTAAAATAATTGATCTGAGAAGTTTGTGTAAATGGAGAAGATAATATATAATCTTCTTTCAACTTTCTTTTGAAATCTAACTGTTTGTGTCATTTTAAGTAATTTTGATGCCAAAGAAATAGTCTTAAAATAAAAAGTTTGTAACTGTAACTTAATTGCACTAATTACTAGATAATTTCGAGAACGGATTCTAAAGTGTTTAAACAAGCTTACAGTTTCCAACATTCGAACTAAAATAAAACTAAGAAAAGCAATGATACATTTTAGCAAGCGAATATGATCCCTTAAGTGATTTTATAAATCTAATATCCTATTAGTCATTGTTTTGGTCCAGTTATTCTATTTACCTTAATACAGCGCTGCTATTCTTGATTGAAGACATTTCTTTAGAGACTGATATTTGAATGTTATTAAAAAAATAAAACTTATCATTTATAAATTAGTGGCTCAAGCATTTGAAAGATTTGCTTAAAGTTTTACTTGTGATAATCTTGAATGGCAAACATGACTTTTTAAGCTATAATGATAAAAAATGTCACACACAGACTATTAAATCAAAACGCATTTGTTTTGGGAATTTAGTTAAAAACATGCAATTAATACCAAATGTATAGCATTCTGATAGAAAGAAAGTTCCATATTTTCAAAAATTAAAAAACAAATGCAGGTAAACACAAGGTTGAAAATGAAATGTTTGTCTAATAGATACCCAGATTTTGTATATCAAAATATGTATCAAATACTTTATTAATATCCAATATGATCTACTTTATCAATATCACATATGATCTATAAAGTGGTAAGAAAACACTATATATGTAAGGAGTTTTATGCTTGATTCAATATTCACCTCGTCTTGTATCTGGTTGTTTCGAGAAACAAGAGGTCTTAAGGTCTAATGCCGAACTTAATGCATATGCTGATAATTATTTTCTCATAATCTTCAATCATTACAACGTATAACTAAAAGTATTTTTATTTCACCTTTGTGTTTTATTGCCTTTTTGTTAATTAGCCTGTCTAGAGCTTGCATTACGTCATTCAACATAATTTCTACAAAAATAGAATATATACATAATATATTTAGATGGATTTAGAAGCAAACTTTACAGATAAGAAAGCAAGTAGATTTATTTAAGACTTTTCCGATGTTATGCAATTTTCATACAAATTTAAGTCACAAAGACCAAAATAAGATTATGTTGATATTTTGGTGGATTAAGCTGATTGTATTTGTATTTATATTAAGTGCTAAATATTATCAAATATCATACCTTTCGTCTTGAATTTAAAGGTTATGCGTTATAATTTACGTAACTCTGATAATACTGCTGGAATATATGCGCGAACTTCTTTATACTACAACTTCTTTCTTCCCTCTACTATACGCGATTGGAACAACTTACCAACCGAAGTTCGGAACTTACCAATTCAAGAACTTCTTAACACGTAACAGGAAACGCACACCTAAATACTACTACTCTGGTAACAGAAAATTACAGGTTCTCCATACACGTCTTCGCACAAAATGCAGTTCTTTAAATTATCATCTTTTTCTAAAAAAAACATATCTCCCTCACCTTTATGTGAATGTGGTCAAGTCAAAACCAACTATCACTTCTTCTTTGAATGTTATCGCTACAATGTGTACCGAAATGAATTATTTATTAATATTCAAGCTTTTGATATCAATCTCGATATTCTTCTCTTCGGAAACCCGGGCCTATCAGATGAGGATGATTCAACAATATTCTCTAACGTGCAGTCTTTTATAGCAAAAACTAAAAGATTCCTTTAACGATTTAACACATAACAAATAATTATGAGACTCTCCTACCCCTTTTTCTCTTTTGTGAAATTGAATAACTACTTCTTTCATACTCCATATATATTTGTTTCTATTATACGTATGGTTATATATATTTTTCTCAGAAAATTTTACATCACCAGTTCAACACCGAAATATTTAACAACTAAAAGGAGAAGAATTCTATAAGACCTAGTCTTTCGTTCTTATCCTCTTCTTTGAATATTTTCAAATTTTGTATGTGTATATATTTCAAATGTTATTATGTACATATTCTGAGAATAAATATGTTTAAACTAAAGGTTATGCTATAATATATATATTCTTAGGACGTAACATAATAGCATGCTAAAAGAATGAAATGATATTCGTCTTCAACTGAAATTAATACAGTAGTATGTCATTATTATGTTTCCCTCGTATCAATTGTTGTTCAAGTTTTTGGAATGGAGTTGAGTTGCTTATTACTTCATGTTTTTGTTTTGTATCCCAAATAAGTATATTTATTCCCAATTTTATCACTTATATTTTTTAAATAAAATGCACATGTCTTTTGCTGTTTTTTTTTTTTTAAATAAGTTTTTTATTTAAGTTTAATGATTGGCATTATGTTAGTAGATTAGGGAAAAAAATAATTAAGATTATCCAAATATGATTTATAGACATATATAAAATTATATGGTTCAGCAAATAGCCATAAAGAAGCGACTTTTCTTTTATCATATCAATTAATCCGCCACGTGAACATCGTGCAAAAATTGGTTATTGTAAGAGTATCACGTAAAACACGTGTTTTGTTTCTAAATTAACCTCTTGTGATAATTAAGATGATTGTAAAGAGGATCAACTGATCCTGCGGAAATGCTTTGAACAGGTAAGTTATTTCAGGAATCCTGCAAAAAACGTGGGAATAAATCTATAGGTATCGTCTGCAGCGAAAGTACCAAAACAAATGTTTCTTCTTGTGCAAATAGTTTAGTAAAAACTAGTTTCGTCTGCTTTCTGTTATCAAAGTATTAAATGGGTTATTTGATCGTTATGGTACGTTAATCAGTCACTTTCGGCAATGTCATGGTTTTTAGAGATTTTATGTATTTTTGAAGAAAAAAATATCTATATTTTCATAAGAATTTTAAAAACTGCATAAACATATTAATAACTTAATTCCTTTTTTTTTTCAAACGGTGCCGTTCATTCGAACTTTCAAAATAAAAACTTTATTTTTGGTCATATGTAATTATGCTAGAATCTAAAATCATCATCGCAGGTAAACTTAGGGAATTGTCTTTAGTACTATAATTGTGTATAACAAAAACATCATCCCCTTGACAAATAAATAATGGGACTTGATTCAAGTAACATCCTACAAGCAATATGAATAAAAAAAACCATGTAATTTTACAAAAATGTTTCCTGCAATATTGCTTAATATCTTCGTGAAATGAACAAACATTTTTAAACATTTATTAGATTTAGGACTTATACTTGTTAAACCACGAAACTCGATATTGACTAACTGCTTAAAAGAAATTAAACTCGTATGTTTTTATTCTTGTAGCTTTTTTCATATTTCATAAACAAATCCTTTAACTGTATGTATTAATAGATTTGGTATTATAATCCGAATCTTGGCACTAATAACTGACCGATTTAATAATAACAATCATATTCGAAACAATTTAATCCATATTTGTAAAGGATCTATTGTATACAAAGGGCTTGATAGTGTATTTAAGATTTCATGTTTTAACATTTGCACGATTGAAGCCATATATATAGTATAGACATTATAGTCAATCTCATTGTACGGTATATTTGCCATATACAGTATATTCAAAACGCTGAATAAAAAAACGCAGGACAAAAGACGACGGTATCCGATTGACAAATGTGATTTTATAACAAATGAATATTGGAGGAAGACAACGAGTATGTAATTTAATACCTATTTTAACCTCTGCGTGATCAATTTGGATAGACTTATTTTGTATGTTAGCGACTTTTATACGCAAAAGATTGACAGACAATACAGTATTGTTTTACTTAATTGATTTTTATTCCATTAATGAAGTTGTTAGTAGAAATCGAGAAAACAAACAAAGGTCACGGAGCTATAAATTAAATGTGATTCCATTGTTTTACAGATTACTATCGGGTGAGAATTCGTGCTCTTATGAACGGAAACTAATATCTACACTGCCATTGCCAGTTTTTAAAGTGAATGGAATAAAGTTGGGATCTAATACAAACATGTAAAATTGTGATATAAATTTCAGACATACATCAACATTCTGTTAATTTGGATAAGTTTATAGATGTTGATATATTAAATATTACATTAAACACTGATACATATCTGTTACAATTAGAACAGATTAAAACGCAACTATCAAGGCGTTTATATAAGGCAATAATATTGTTTTTTGTGTCGTCATTTGTGACGACACATTTGCTGTTGTAATACCCGCTTAATTGAAGGAACCAAAAATGTCTGCTGAAACTCCAAGCGAGGATGGGGAGATTCACGATTTAGTGTTGCTGTTTGCTAATTCAAAGATACCGCGGGGCTCGGATGCATTTCAAACTCTTATTGACGATTTCTTGAAACATGACGATGACGTCACAGACGCAAATGATGATGTCACTACATCAGATTCTAGCGATTCTTCAACGAAGCCTGAAACAATTTCGGTGGAGGATGTTGCTGCAGTGCCAAAATCAGTATTGAAAGCTAAGAAAAAAAGTGTGCGAATGGAATCACCAAAACATTTATCGCACGTGCACTGGCCAGACGAGGAAAATTCTAAATTAGCATCTAGTCCTGGTCAAGAACAGTTACATCACGCAAGACTTTACATGAAGACAACGCCAAAGCCAATTCTTAAACACGATGAATCAGTGCTTGTGCCCAGTTCAAATGAGAAACATTATCGAAGGTTTAGCACACCTCCACATATATGAATTGTTTTATTCCGTAGATCTTTTTTGATAAACTTTTCCAGGATGATAACAGGGTATTGTTTAACGATTATGGCAAGAAAGGGCCATAGAAAATTAACGCGAAAATGTTACCGAAAATTTGTTATCATGTACAAGTATTTCCTATTTCGGCGATGCGCCCTTGATCTTTCTTATATTTTTTTTACAGAAATACCAAATGACAGGATTTGAACATACTTTGTCTTTGCAATCACGCGTCAATTGTTACTACTTGTGCGACTACGGTCGATAAAAACTGTATTTTACCAATGGTAATATATGAATATATTGAGAGATTATGTGTTTTATCTGAGGATAGCATTTATCTTTAGCATCCGCGCAGTCTGATCAGGATCCATGCTGTTCGCTTACAGACCATACAACAAGTAAAGAAACTGATAGCGAACAGCATGGATCCTGATCAGACTGCGCGGATGCGCAGGCTGGTCTGGATCCATGCTGGTCGCAAACCCATTATTTTGGTTTTGTCGTGACACGGCTCATTTATTCTTGTTACCCGCTCACATGAATAGTATGCTAATATGAAATTGATTATAATTTGTTAATATTATTTAATGTATTAGGCTTTAATATCAATTGATTTCAGATTCAGATATTTGTATGACCGCACAATTTTACCCTACGAATAGTAACCTCAAAAACCATCTATCTTATATAAAATTATGAAAGTAAATATAAAAATTTTAAAAGCGATTGAACCTAAAATTCGTACCTGAACTTATTTGTAGTTTTTACGGTTAGTACATTTTGATAATGATGCCAATATTTTTGACATATAGAGAAACAAGTAAAAAAAGGCAATATTAAATAAAATGTTTATAAAGAGGTGGCGTATTGTAAATTAAGTATTTTATATAAATTAAATCAGCACATGAAACAAAACAAATGTTTTCATATGATTTAGAAATGGATAAGATTTCATAACAAGGTGATATTAATATAGTTTTAGCACAATATTTACAACTATAGGTTTTTGCATATTTTCTATTTCCTATAACGCAGCACTATGTTGCATTTTTGTATAGCCCATAGTGGAGCCTTAGTACATGACATGTTTATGCATTTATTCTATGATTTTTCTTCTTCTATGTATATAAGTTAATGTTATTTAGTTAGTCAAATATTGTAAAATGTAGATATGAATTTGAATCATATATCATCTTCTTTTTTAACTTTATTTGTTCATGAATTCATGTTTATATATTGTTAAAGTTTTAATCATTTTTATGTATAATAATATCTGTCGTAAAATATCCCTTTTTCTCAGATAAAAATGAAGAAAAACCTTTAAATGATGTTTCTTGATAATTTCTACATATATTCATCTAAAAGAAAATAGAATAACAGAACATTAAATATAATGTTTTATAAAAACTGTCTTCCATTTCATTAAGGATAACAGATTTATTTTCATTTTGTATCTTAGAAATTCTTTCTTTGGAAACATTTTTTAATTTGCAGTACGTACAATTAATTTAATACTTATCGATTAATAATTTTGTTGATTACGTAGTCATACAGGATTATGACAATAAATAATAAAGATTTACATACGCCTGCATGCAGTATGTGCACGCACAGGCAAATTGTAGAAGTTTAAATATATTGGCGCCAAAACAACATTCTTTTGTTGCTATAATATTATATAGAAACAAGTAACTATATATACATTGTAGTAACAAGAAAATTAATCAGGAAGGGAGCGCTGTAAGCATGATATTACTCAATGTATTATATGTTATTTATATTTTATATTTAATGTCACTATGTCTTATTTACATAAACAGTTTTAGATATCAAATAAATATTATTTTACTTCAATTGTTTTTTGTTGGAATTTCCGTATAATTTGCATTTATACATGTGTCCAACCGGTATACAAAGAGACCTTCTGTATAATAATAAACTTCTGAAAAACAGGTTTTATGTGGTAAAGGAAAGTTGGTTTACCGTTTGCTAGTTCTATGGACATATCAAAAAATATATGGTTTTATTTATTTATTTTATGCCATAAAATGAATAATTTACGATAATAGTACAATGCATTTTTACAAATCAAACATCATCAAACTGAGAATTATTGGCTCCTTGGTGAGTTGTACATTCTGCTTTTGACAACCCCGCATTTTGTTCTTTTATCTAAAAAAATGTTTTGGTACTTTGGAAAGACAAAACAAAACAACATCATTTCCTAGACTACTTCTTAAATTACACTCGAACCCGATACTTTTCTGTTCCCATCTCCTGTTTCGTGTCCTATACAATAACTGCCCCTTTCATGGAGATAACGACATATTTTGCAAGATATCATAACTTGACCTCATAAGAAGTGATATTACCAAAAGTCATAGTGCTCTTTATAAAAATATTCCTTTGAAAAATAAATTACACCATCTCTAAAACATTGACATTTGCTGTTTCCCCACGCCCCACTCATTGTCCCCCCTCGTCTTGTGCCCCTAACCGCATTCAACCCTTATACATTTGCAGATGTTAAAAGTACGAAAACAGGTTCAGTAACATTAAGTGGAAATGGTATGTAATAGTGATATCCGAGTATTGAGGGATTGTTTATTTTTTTAACGAATGCGTAATGTAAAAGTTTTTGACTCTTTTATTCTTACCAATGTGCCAAGCCGGTTGAAGTGTCATTGTAATTTAAAAAGGATTTTTTCAGTATACCAGGATATAATACCTAATTTATGTAAATTTAGTTTATTATAGCAAGCAATACATGTTTTTACTTCTCAAGTATTTTTGATAGAGATTTGTAACCACTACAGAGGTCATTCATAATACAAAATATAATTATTATACAGCTAATAATCCCAGCAATAACTTATATAATCGGGCATATATTTAGAGGACAACAATAATTTTAAGAATAAGGATTAGTAAATGAAATTTTGATCAAAACAAACAGCTTAAAGTTAAATCGCAAAGAAAATAACCGCTTTCAATGCAAAGTTGTTTTCAAAGTCAAAACACGTGATTGCTTACAAAATTAGTTAGACCATCGTTTACATGTTTATCGTAGATATAGTTTTAACATTTGCGTTGGTTTGCGACAAAGTGGTATTTCTATAGACTGTTTTGTGCCATGTCGTATTTTCGCTCCACGGAGCCAGGCGAAAACGCGAAAATACGAGAAAATGGTGCGAAAATACGAGAAAGTGGTGACTGTCGTATTGCGGAGCGAAAGTGTGACAAAATGATGACTTTCTCATATTTTGAAAATAGCACGTGACACGAATCAGCAATTCCGCATTTTTTCTTACGCTGCAACGCCATTTCTTGAATACTTGTCGAATGTAGTGCACCACATTATCAATGTTTCCATTAAACTGAAAAATATGATATTTGTCTTTTTTTCTCCGAATAGTATTTATATTTAATAAATTTGTAATTGTTACAACATTTGATCTAGTATTTTATTTTGTCCTTGACATACCATGATGGTTCAATAATGTCCGGAAAATAGAATGTTACGAAACCTTATCACGCTAAATATTCTAAATGGACTCTATCAATCTGGACTCTATCATTTTTTAGGACTTTTTTTAATTTGTAGTGACTACATAGCGAATAGTGTAGACCATGGTCGGATCGGACGTTCTTATCTTAGTCTTCACTAAATTCATGGGTAGAATAAGTTGCAAGCATGGCTGCCAGCAGGCAAAATGATAAAAACATAAATTCACGTATTCGTACAAGAAGTCTTTATTAAACAGAAGATTTTTGTTGCAGTTATTTTACAAGAAAAGAATGCTGGAGACGGCGTTTGCGATTTCAGAATAGTATACCCTCCAGTTAATTCTGTCACCCTCCAGTTGTTTCTGTCTCGGATTTATATAATTAAGATCCGTTATCCTGAAAACTGGTAGAAGCTTGTGGGCACCAGAATCGAACCAGTTTTTCTCCTGGCCTTTATTCATATGTCTATATGTTATTTATAAAGTTTGTATTTAATATTGTCAGTTCAAAAAATAGTACTCCTCTGAAAAGAACTTCCCATCTTCTATTCACTTAAAGCATGGACAAGTGTTTTGTAAAATTGTTTTTAAAATCTGTTTTTTAAGAGATAAAAACAATGTATGAAAAGAAGATATAAAAGTAATAACTGGTTTTAAACCTATAAATTCATGCAAGATATTTGTTTGAAAAATGAGTCCGGCATTTGCAATAATGTTTGAATGAAATGTGTTTTTGTTATTGTTGTTTGCCTTACGGTTTGGAACCTTATTTTCCATAATGATGCAGATTACGTAACTCTTAACATACTAAATTTTTGTAACGGATTTGTCCTGCTTTGAATTTGGAACAGTCCATTCATATTATAAGTAATTTTAATTTCAAAAAATGAGGTGCCGATAGTATAGAACCTGGTTAAATTTCATGTATGTAAAGGCTGGCCTGGCAAAGGCTGATCACCTTCCGGTTCCAGTAGGTGATCACTCGAACTCGAGGTATGTCGCGCGCTTAGTGGCTACTTCCGGTTGAAGGTATCCAGATTCCCGGGCGCTATTTCGAAATAACTTCCTGTGTAATGACTTCATGTTATATGATAACTCCTCAAACGATGGCCTACTTGTTTTCCTGTAATGTATGTAAAAAGCACTATACAAGAAATTCATACGCAGTAGTAAAGGATGCGAATTTTGCTTTGTCATATTCATCGAACACATGCACTTTTTAATTATAATTGCAATATTGAACATACAGTGAAGGGCGATTTTAGCAGAAAATGATATAGATGTAGATATATAAAGGAAAATTGTCTGTTTTATGAGTATCCTAAATATCACACTGAGAAGTGAGAAAATTGCAATCTTGAATATGTGAATGTTTCGCACTTCGATGTGGATAGTCTTTATACTTGAGGCATATTCACAAAAATAAATTTTCTTTATATCAATTGCCTAAATAAGTAAAATAAGAGCAGGAAAAAGATACATTAAAACCTGTGTTAAAGACCGCCCGTGAATTAAGACCATCGTGTATATAAATGCCTCTTTTCGACAACACTTCATGGGTCCAATAGAACAGAGTAACCACCAAATAAAGACCACTTGCCTAGAAAGGTCATGTTTGGTCTCGAGTTTGGATGGCACTTGTTAACAGCTTTGTAGATATAAAGATGACGTCAAACATTCAATGGCTACGTCAAAAAAAAGTTCAACAGAGCTACATCACCAGCACTGTGAGTGATATACTGTGATTAATATTGATTTTATCACAACGATAAAACTCAGAATCTCATTGGTTAGCATAAAATAATTTGGTATATTCAAGAGGAAAGGGATTTATAATGAAGAGGGGAGGTGAATAATATTCCTTAGGGAGGAAGAATTTGTGATCATTAGGCAACTGATCAATGGCGAATGGTCATTGCAATGAGGGGCAAATGGTCATTGGACGGTACGTGGCAAATGATCATGGAAGGTTGATGGTAAATGATTTTGGAGGGTAAGTAGCAATAATCATTGGAGAGTATAGGTGGTAAATGATCATTTGAGGTAGAAGTGGTAAATGATCATTTGAGGGTAGAAGTGGTAAATGATCATTGGACGGTAGAAGTGGTAAATGATCATTGGACGGTAGAAGTGGTAAATGATGATTTGAGGGTAGAAGTGGTAAATGATCATTTGAGGTAGAAGTGGTAAATGATCATTGGACGGTAGAAATGGCAAATGTTCATTGGAGGGTAGATGTGGTAAATGTTCAAAACAGGACAGGAGTGGGAAATGAACACTGGAGTGTAGAAGTGGTAAATGATCATTGGAGGGTAGAAGTACTTAGTAAACGATCATTTCAGAGTAGAAATGGTACATGATTATTTTAGGATAGAAGTGGTAAATGATCATTGGAGGGTTAAAGTAGCAAATAAACATTGGAGGATAGGAGTGGTTAATGATCATTGGAGGGTTGAAGTGGTAAATGATCATTGGTTGAAATGATCATTGGAGGGATAGGGTTGGAGTGGTTAATGATCATTGGAGGGTTGAAGTGGTTAATGATCATTGGAGGGTTAAAGTAGCAAATAAACATTGGAGGATAGAAGTGGTAAATGATCATTGGAGGGTTAAAGTAGCAAATAAACATTGGAGGATAGGAGTGGTTAATGATCATTGGAGGGTTGAAGTGGTTAATGATCATTGGAGGGTTAAAGTAGCAAATAAACATTGGAGGATAGGAGTGGTTAATGATCATTGGAGGGTTGAAGTGGTTAATGATCATTGGAGGGTTAAAGTAGCAAATAAACATTGGAGGATAGGAGTGGTTAATGATCATTGGAGGGTTGAAGTGGTAAATGATCATTGGAGGATAGAAGTGGTAAATGATCATTTGAGAGTAGAAGTGTTAAATAATCATTGAAGGGTAGAAGTGGTTAAATGATCATTGGACGGTAGAAGTGGTAAATGATCATTGGCGGGTAAAAGTAGTGAATGATAATTGGAGAGTAGAAGTAGTAAATGATCATTTGAAGATAGAAGTGGTAAATGATCATTTGAGGGTAGAAGTGGTAAATGATCATTTGAGGGTAGAAGTGGTTAATGATCATTTGAGGGTAGAAGTGGTAAATGATCATTGGACGGTAGAAGTGGTAAATGATCATTGGACGGTAGAAGTGGTAAATGATCATTTGAGGGTAGAAGTGGTAAATGATCATTTGAGGGTAGAAGTGGTAAATGATCATTGGACGGTAGAAGTGGTAAATGATCATTGGCGGGTAAAAGTAGTGAATGATAATTGGAGAGTAGAAGAAGTAAATGATCATTTGAAGATAGAAGTGGTAAATGATCATTTGAAGATAGAAGTGGTAAATGATCACTGGAAAGTTGAGGCGAGTTGTAAATGATCATTGGATGATAGAAGTGGTAAATGATCATGTGAGGGCAGAAATGGTAAATGATCACTGGAAAGTAGAGGTGAGTGGTAAATAATCATTGGATGATAGAAGTGGTAAATGATCATTTGAGGGTAGAAGTTGTCAATGATCATTTGAGGGTAGAAGTGGTAAATGATCATTTGAGGGTAGAAGTGTTAAATGATCATTGGACGGTAGAAGTGGTAAATGATCATTGGACGGTAGAAGTGCTAAATGATCATTGGAGGATAGAAGTGCTAAATAACCTCTTGAGGGTACAAGTGGTAAAGAATTACCAAGTTTGTAGTGTGATAATTAAAGGGTGTGTATTTGGGATTCATAATTATTGGAGGGGTAGAGGCTTATTGTTTTATGTATAAAACTTTAAAAAAAAAAAAAAAAAAGACTGTTTCAAATGATATTGATAATAATTGCGTTCAACTGCAGTATATATTATTTTTAGATGGTTACTTGTCAATTTCACTACACTAAAACCCAAGGAAAGCCACTTTACAACACAATACATTGCTTTGGTTTTTAGAGAGAAAAAAACAACAAGAAAATGAAAAAGAAAAGAAGTTTACAAGTATGAAAATATTTTATTATCAAAAGATAACAGTAACAAGAGAGTTTGTAGTACAATGTATAGTTTAATTAAAGAGCATGCCTACATGCATATAATTATGTCAACAATTCATATAGCACTAGCCAATAGCCAATGCTTCCTATATATAACACAGAAGATATTTATACAAATATTTCTACATGACACCACTTATTCTTATTTACAGTTCTGCTTAACAATACACACACACTAAAAAAAGGTTTATATTTCAAAAAGGTAAACAAATACGGCCATTATGTCAAGGTTATATGGAATTGATATCTTGAGCACCAAAACAAGTGAAACAAGTAGTTTGTAATATACACTTACAATAGTATTCCTAAATGTCATTTTTTTGTTTGACAGAAAATAATAAGAAATTCTGCTGAAACATTTATTCAAAATATAAAACTATATATATTTACATTATAATCTAAAAAAGACATTGTATAAAAAAGGATGAATTTTGACAGCTTAAAAAAAAATGTCACAAAATGACAAACCAGTCTGTCAGTACAAGTGCATTTAAGTTATTACCCATAAGAACTTATATTTGACATTATATTGTTAAATAAACTACAAAACAAAATTACTGGACATTAACTAATCAATACCTGAAATAAAATATTCCTATTTCAATAACATTGTACTTTCAATCTGATTGTATTTTAATCCATAATAAGATTTTAATCTTTATAATCAATAACAAAATTTTTAATCCTTATCCAAGGTCAGAAAACTTATGATTTTTTAGATAATACATTATATAAATGTTTCCAAATAAAGACAAATAAGCGGACAGAGGCATTCTTAGGTCGCTTACTTGATTATTGGTCAACTTGACACTCTGGAGGCAACATGGCGACAATCCAGCTTCACCCCCACCTGCCCTTCTGTGCTATCCCCTACACTGGACAACTTTCAACATTCAACTTTTAATTATGTAAAGATTGTTGAATCTCTAAATGCTACTCAAAATTATATTGTATTGGTGAAAATGCTGTTGTACAAATATTTTTCCATTTTAAAGAGAGGATATAACTATGTTAATTTGAACAATCAAAAAAAAAATGCCTGTCTTAATTGAAATATTTCACTTTCAATAGTAAATAAGTTGTTAACACACCTAAAATCTGAAAATTCTGTTCTTATGACAAGCAGTTAGAAAATCTGGAAAAGGGGAGAATCCCTACCCCATCCCCAAAGAGCATTGAAAACAAGTTAAAAAGTGAGAACTGCAGATTTGGTTTGAAAAATTTTAATATACAGTATTTGTGTGACAAGTTCACTTGTATTAAAACAGTTTCTGTATCTAGTCTATGCTGATTTGATGTTTAAATAGTGAGAGATATCAAAAATATCTCACTGATATAATAATACATGGGTGAAAGTGAAAAATATAAGAAAACCTGACCTGAAAACCCTGATTTTAGTATCATTTCAATTGGTTTTATAAGGAAAAAGACGGCTTTCAGGAGTAGAAAAAATCTGAACTTTCTGGCAAATATCTGAAAACTTGTACCTATGATATTGTAATTTCCATCATACACGCATCAATTAAAACAACTACATGTACTACATTATATATCAAATAAAAATTATGATATCATGAAACAATAGAAATGTAAGTATAGCATGGAATGTTTTATTTTTGTAGATAATAATAAAATATTAAAGACACAGACTTGAACTATAATGACAAATTAATGATATATAATTTTTGCATAATACTTCACTATGATTTTTATAATAATTAAGAACAAACATAATCTGGAACAAAATAACATTTAACAAATTCTATTTACATAAATTCTCACAAATCATAAGAAAAAACAAACACACAAGCAAACAAAAAATCAGAAGATTCTTTGGCTAAATCTAGATGTTGTCTACAATAAAGTGAGATACATTTTACTATGATCCTTTTAAAATATCATTATATAACTAGAATATAACTAGAATCAGTTTTATTATTGATATAACAATTCATCTTATGCTAATACAGTAAAGTAAAAAAAGTGAAATTTTCACAAGTGAAATATAAATCATATCACACTTTCATCAGAGAGACACACAGCTTAATTTATACAACTCATCAACTGATGAAAGAATATCTAAGTATATATACATGAAGGCTTAAATGTTCATTATAAACTAAGTTTTCCCCTGTATTTTAAAAAATTCAAACACAAAAGTATTATGCATAATGTTCTCCCATATCATCAAAGATTCAAATTAGAAATGTACAAAACACTGCAATAACTGTTACATACATGTACTTGATATAAAAATATTCATAAAAAATATCCATGCAAGTATCCAAAATTACCACTTTTTTTATTTTTCGGTTGGTCAAACTGACACTGTGAATGTCATATGGCCCCAGGTTACCAGTCATGTAACTAATTCAAGCATAGGCTGGGTTCCTCAGAATTACCAACCTTATTTGAGCCGTGTCATGACAAAACCCTACATAGTGGGTTTGCGACCAGCATGGATCCAGACCAGCCTGCGCCTCTCCGCATTCTGATCAGGATCCATGCTGTTTGCTTACAAACGGTATAACAAGTAGAGAAACTGATAGCGAATAGCATGGATCATGATCAGACTGCGCCGATGCACAGGCTGGTTTGGATCCATGCTGGTCGCAAACGCACTATGTTGGTTTTGTCATGGCGTGGCTTATTTACTTTTGTGAGATGAAGGTATATAAATTCCCCCAAGGGATTTGAACCTACAGAGATATGGTCTAGTACTAAGGTCACCATAACCACTCAGCCATGAGGCACCTGGTCAAATCTTTTACAATTGCATAGAGAATAAGAATATTTTTGTATACATGGAAACTTGTAATTATATTCACCTTTTTTTCTTTTTTTTCAAATATTCAAAAGGAAGATTTATCGATGACATAATTATGCAATTAATATTACATAGGCTAGGCTGAGAAAAGAAAATTCATGAGAATTCCATGCACACATCTAAAATTAATTCTCACTAAAAATGTATTATGCAAAATACGAAAAAAAAAATTCAGACAAAAAAATCAAACGAAATCGAACAAAAATGCAAACTATCACAGTAAACAAATGGCAGGTGATTTTTTATGATTATCATTTTAATCTAAAGATTTTATTAACATTTATCTCTATAATCTAAAGAGTTTTACAAATAATAGAACATATACCGACACTATTAATTCTTAACAAATTGTCATAGTTTTTAATAACCCTCTCATCACCACGAGACACTTTTGTATTAGTATGGTTAATCTGCCACAGAAATTTCTTTAAATTACAGGAATTTATTTAGGTAAAAAAAAGCTTAACAAATGCTTACACATCTGTACATGTATTTGGAAAATACAAAAAACTGTTAGAAAATGATTTATTTGCAACCTATTAAGGGATATATATGAAAATAAGATATTAATTCAGGTAAAAGATTTTCTACTTTTTATGGCAGGCATACCCGTCATAAATTAACACTAAATTTGTGAATGTAATGCATCTAACCATCTTAACGGCAACAAAAAGGGTTGAGCAATTTGAGCAAGCTTTTTTTACCTTTTGTAAATACTATTTTCTTTTTACCAGAATGGAATGTTGCTAATACTCATTTTAAACATAAGTTTCCTCTTTGTTCACTTTTTAAAGTACATTCAACACCAACACATCAGAATTATGAAATCATCACCTTTAATAACACACCACTCAACCGTAACAACACCTAACTAACACTCCTGGAATGGAAGAAACTTCATTTTGAATTTTTAAAAGCCTGATATAAGCACCACTCTCTCGTTGGTCGACAATCAATCATCAAAATCTCCATTTAACACTTTACAAATATCCATTTCCATTTTGGCACCAAAACAAAAACAGCCCAGTTCAGACAAAAGGTAAAAACTTGCAACATCCCTTCCACCACTATCCACCAGGGGTTTAGAGCAGGGTTCAAATGACTGTCTCATAAAAAGCCCAGATGGCTAAATGTTTTAACATGATGTGGGACATTAAACTGAGTTTGTCATTCAGCATATATAATATAACTAATATAACTGATAAACAAATTCCTAGTCTACTATAATGTTGACTTATTCCAGTGACACTACCTGTCATTTTATGGTCAATTTAATATTACTGATCACAGCAACAGAGCCTAAACTAGATATTGGCAAACTTTCTGAAAGTAATTTTACAGTTCATTAGTAAAAATCCACATCATAGTACAATTTCTATCTATACACTATAACAATGCATTTCTTTAACTTATTTCTGTTACACACACACCAAGTAAATGCCTTTGGCTTAATGTCTATTTCTTTCTTCAATTTTTAGATTTCTAATTTATTTCTTTAGTTTGAAGTGAAGGGGGGGGGAAGAGATGTTTGATGTAAAACCAACTTTTCAAGCACACACAAACCTTTGGACCTCCTCCTGAATATGGAAAAGCCCAAAGTACTTGGTGGGATTCTAACTGACAGCCGTGAGGGGCAATGGTGTCAAAACTAAAATCAGGCCCCTTTAATTAAAAAATCTCTTACATCTCCATAGTTATGGGAATTTTTGCCCAAAGTTAAAATGGACTTCTTGTACTTGTTTCTTAAAAGAAATATCATGTAATATGAGCATACATATAAATAAAAACTTTAAACTCGTGTATAAGGTAGTCATGAACTTTTTTTTGAAATTTCAATATTCCTAAGACACTAAAAAAATCCAAATTGAGGCAAGGTACTTTTTTCCAAAAAAGGCAGAAAAGGTCTTTTTTCATAAAGTTTTCCTGATATAATGGCAAGGGTAGGTTGCGAACATTTAATATCAATCATGAAGGAAGACAATCACATAAATAGAAAGAGAAACTGGCCTAATGCTAAACTTTTTGTTTGACGGATAAAACGTTAACTTAAATTAAACAAAAAACAGTGCTATAACACATTGCAAAAATGATATCATGATGACTATTCATAGCTTTTTATCTCAGCTTCCTACTAACTAAATGCCCGCCTCCTAATATAGACACAATTCTCAGGCTCTGTAAACAAAGAACTATGTGGATGACACATAAAGAAACATCATTCTTGATGTTAAATTTGATGTCAGTCATACAAAACAACAAGGGACATAATTTAAACAACTTACTGTCACAATCAAGCATTTGCATTATCTTCCTTTCAATACTAAATATATATCAAATGTTTACCCCCTGTCTTTTTGTATTTTTGAATGACCTGTTTTTCTTCTGTCAAATGTAGAACTATCTATATAGATAAGGAGATATTTACAGTAACTAAATAAATGCAATTGTATCTATGGTTATATTTTACTGAAAAAAAATTACCTAAATATTTAATATGATAAAACAATAAGATATCCTAAAGACTTACTACATCTTTCCTGAGGTAATTAAAGTGTTAAGATGTGTGAAATTCCTAAAAAATCTTCTCAAAATTTATAATATTAATTTTAAACATCAACAGAATAACTACATGTACAAATGTATTAGATTGTCATTTAAAACCGAGGAGAAGTTGAGACTTTCCAAAATCATATAGTGTACACGTAAATGTATTATAGTTTTACCTCACTAAAATAGAGTTAACATACTCAAACTTTAACTCTTCAATATACCAAAATTTTCACAAAACCAGAAATTTTGTCTTGTTACTTCCTTGTATTGATCAAAAACTTCTTACAGTATTTTAAGTCAGTTTAAACCAGACATTGTGCAAAGAAAAGCCAGAACAAACCAGAAATGAGTAAAAATAATCTGATATCAACCAGAAATAACATAGAATTTTCTGGTGTAATCCAGATTTTTTTAATATTTTTTTTAACAAAACATTAAACTGGTAACCAGTAACAAAATTATCATTGATATGAGAACCCCTTTAAACAGTACAAACTTAATAATATTCAATATTAAAAAGAAAACAACAAATAAATCATAAATTGATGGACAGAAGGTCAATCTTATTCAATCTTGTACTACAATGTGTACATGCACGTACGGCACTTCTTAAATGCGACATTCTTGGAAATTACACACATACTGTTTGATATAACATGATAAAGCTTGGCAACAAAAATGATTAATACAAAATAGAACTTTTATTTATAAAACTGATACTAACTTCACTTTATAAGCAAACAAAAACAACAACAAAATAAACAACAGCAGTATAGTAAACTTGTGTGACAGTCCTGAGATTTATCATTTCAATAAATTCCATCAAAATTCTTAATTTACATCTGAGGACCTTTGACATTGTAAATTAAAAGGGTATGAGGCTTGTGTTTAAAAAAAAAAGCTGGAGAAAAAATTATTACTCAACATTATAAAAATAGCAGTCGAAAACATTGTTAGGGAATATCTTATTCTGTTTCTTTTGAAAATCATGTTTAAAAAAAAAGATTTAAGATGTCTTTCTGATATAACTCGTTCCATATATAACAGCACAATAATAACTAAAGAAAGTGATTTTATAGACTTTGAAATTTTTGTTGTATATTTTGTCTGTTAAAGCTATACATTTTTAAGGCTTAAGCTTTAAAAGTTAAAAACTCAAATTTTAAAGCAATATCTATTCAACAGACAATTACAGTCTGAAAGTTCAGAATCAGTCCCGTATTTACAGCCATTTATCATAATAAAAAACAATCTAATTGGTACTGCATGAAAAAAAAAGTGCCCTTATTTATGAAAAATTCAATAGTCATTGAATATCTTATGGAATACTTTTTAAAAATTAATCAACACTAAAATTATATTGTTTCCACAATCAAGCAAAAAAAGTTTCTTTAAATTAATACTCATGGATATTGTACATGAACAGAATAAAATGTTTTGAACAACACATTTTTCTGCTATTATACAATGTAAGTAGGTTTTTTTTAACCATTAAGCAATGATTTCATACATACACCATTTTGTTTTTAAGTCAATATACTTCCATATTTATTACCATATAAGCATTTTTGAAGCATTCTTTTTTAATTTATTTTTGCAGCAGATATTTTAGCTTTATACACTTTAAAGAAATAAAATTATTAAATAAAATAAGAAACATAGTTGTTGTAAAAAGCAGGTGGATGGTATTTAGATATATGCAATAACAAAGTTTAATGTACTACTATTCTACAACAATAACTTACAGCCAACTGCTGATTTTAAGAAACAATTTTAGGACAAAATGTCATTTTTGTTTTTATTTTGGACCCATAGCTTTTTTGTAAATGATAGAAGGTCCACTTATGGGAGGAGAAATAAATCACTCTAGACTGTTAGAAAAATGGATCACTTAAAAAAATAAAAGTTAAAAGTAAGATTTTGGGACAAAAAAATCCTATCTCAGCTAACAATAAAAAGTGATTTTCAAGAAAAAGCTATTGAGCTATATTTTAACTGATACATCAAATTTATAATAAAAACCATTAAAAACCATTTAAACATTAACAGTACTTTACTATCAGAAGACTCATTTCAAACAAAAATACAAATGTACATCTTAAACGCAATAAATATTCTTATCACATGTAACAAATGTACGTAGGTTTTTGAGTAGTTCATAATTATTTTTCCCAACTGTCACACAAGATTGCATAACAATTAATGTCAATATTTTTACCAACGTAAACCTGAAATTTAAATTATTGAGTGAGAACAAATAATTTCCCTGCGTATGCTAGCTGTTAGATTCCCGCGCCATTCGTCTGTATATTTTTGACATGTACGACTGAATCTCCAAGAATGTTGGTCGGTCATGTTTACTGAAAGAGAACAGAGCATATCATGCAAGAATGATAGCAATAATATGATAAAAGTGCAAAGGCAGTGGCTATTTAAGGCCTCTGAAGTCTTTTGATAATAGTTAAATTTTAGGCTTCTGAAGTCCAGTAAAAAATATCATCATTTTTAACACGAGTTTATAAATGAAATACAAAGCCATCAAAATAAGAAATAATAAAGATAAAACACAACCAATGATATGAAACACAATTAATGTGAATAAATCTAGAATTAACCCTTAAGCTGCTTAATACATTTGTATCTTATATGAACTTGTCCATCTTTTAATCTGGACATAACCATTAGCATTTATAGGGAAAATTACAAACTTTATTCTGACTAAATAGCAAACAGTGAAGATCATGATCAGATAGTAAAATAGTGCAGGCTGATCTTGGTCTGAACTGACAGTACGGGGAAAAAACAATTTCCACCAGCTGACTGAGGTAAAGAAGATTTACCATCTATATTTCACATACCAAAACAAAGGGCAAAACCAATACAAAGGGCAACAAATGATTATGAAAAGTAAGAGTTGGCACAAATTAAATATTCATCAGAAACCTGAATCAATTCAAGATTTGAGCCGCGTCATGACAAAACCAACATAATTGGTTTGCGACACAGTTTAAAGGAAGGAAAAGAATCCATAAAGCATTTTATTCAGAAGTTAATTAGTAATTACCATCCTCAAAAGGTAATTACCATACTAGAATTACATTAGAAATCATATGCAAGAATACACTTTTATAAAGTACACATGCTATAACTTTCAGGAAGAAGGTCAAGAAAAAACACAAAAAATATCGACCACACCCATGGCCACACCTGCGGCTGCTCTTCAATGCCACTCAGACAATGCTTAAACCATGGCCTTGCTACAGCGGAAAAAAAAGAGGAAGAAAATCTATTTTTAGTCTCAGTGTCCTTGACATATTTTAGATGTCCTTGACATTGACCCAATCGACCTAAAACCCAATCCAAAGGTTAAGGTACATGAAACATACCAATAACACCAAATATCTTATTAAATCAATCAATTCATCAATGTTTTTGTAGAAACAGGTAGTAAATGCATAATGCTTCTTTGACAAATTTCAAGGAGAATAACTTTCAAAATGTTCTCTTACAACAATGAAGTGTTTGCTTTTGACCTATTTGTGTATAATGTTACAGGTCATAGGAAGTTGGAGAAAACTCTTTGTTATGATAAATGTTAAAAATCTAGTCATTTTTAAATCTATATTGCATAAACATGGCCTTCAATCTTAAAAATTACCTAGTTTATAATAATACACACTTATTTACTCAAACAGCCACAGCCTTTGTTTAGATAAAACATAACATTAAACATAACCAGACATAATTTTAGACATAACCTGGACAGATATAGTTTAAGATATAATCTGATAAGACAAAAAGTTAGACAGAATAAGAAAGACATCATTTTAGATATAATTAGAACAGAAACAATTTTAGACATAACCGCATCAGACATATAAAGTTAGACATAACAAGAAAGATATAACTTGGAAATAACCTGAGAGACATAACCACTGACATATCCTGGGCAGAAGACTTGTTATTTGTTGACATAAACATCTGACAATGCGTATTAAGAGAAGAAAATGCTTTAAAATTTGAAATGAGATGCAAGAAAAACTTACTCATATTCCCAGCACTGTAACATGACATCATAAACTTCATCGTCACAATTCTCCGGTTTAGGAAGCCTCTTTCCTTCATCTACCAGGAAATGTAAAATCTCCTGCCCTTTCATTTTCTACAGTAGAAAAATAAGGAACATATATTTTATCATTTTACAAACAATCTTTAACTCATATCATTCTAAATGAAGGTTACATAATATGAGGACATTTTTGTGAAATTAACCCATTGACTTGTCCATATGCTTCATCACAAAAAAACAACAAAAACAAACATTATCTCTAGTAGAATTAGTTCCCATAGCAATGAGGGGCACAATACTCTAGTCACAGATATTTTATAATTCTGCCACTAAGGCCCACTTCTTAGTTTTTCTCACCTTCAAGCTTACTTATAAAAAATTTGAAATAATTAAAACTGTACCTTTCTTTTACCTTATAAGGAAATTTTTTTGATGACTAATTTCAATACATACAATGGCTTAAGGAAGGAAAATTATTTTTTGATGACTAGTTAGAGTACATCTTCTGACTTTTTATTAATAGTGAAACTGATTATACTACTTATCATTTATAAACCTACATTATATGGCCTGTCACCATAGGAAGTGGCCTCCCACATTGTCACACCGTAACTCCACACATCTGATTTGGAATCAAACTTCCAAAAGTACACGCATTCTGGGGCATACCATTTCAACGGCCATTTACCTGCTTCTTTCGCCTAAAATGTCAATAAAAAGTTAGCATCAAATATGTTTAAAACTCACATTCATGATTGGCTTATCAAATTTAATGCTTTCCTTTTTTTGAACTTGTGAAATAATACAAAAATATGACACGAAATTTTGAGAGGGACTTTCAAAGATTTATTGTTACAGCACAGTTGTTCTTGATTTAAGCCCCTCACTTGACAATCTTTTTGTTACATATGTCCAAATGTCTAAATGTACTTCAAGTACTGAGACCAAAGCAGCTATATCAAGTCATTAAAACATAATCATAAACTAAAAACTGGCGACCAAGCCTAAAATGCCTATTCTTTCAGAATGAATGGACGCAATTTTTACACTATCTTTTTGAAACTGCCTTCTATGTAAAGCACAGACGCCATGTTTATAATTCTTATTTGGTACAACCCAGATAAAGATTAACCCTCTGACCTCTTGCATACATGACTAAAGCCATAACACAATGTTACACCTTGAATAAACAGGATTAGAATAAAAATATCAGCAATGCAGTTATGCATAGCTTTCTGCAATATTCCTTGATAAAAAGTTCTTACTTCATAATAATTATTGTCTCTACAAAGGGCCTTTGACATTCCAAAATCACTTATTTTAGCGAAATGTTCCGACACAAGTAACACATTACGGGCTGCTAAATCTCTGTGAACAAACTTCTTAGATTCCAAATATTCCATCCCCATAGCAACCTGAGATAATAATTCCACAATGTTGGCTTGAGTTGTCTCCCTGAAACATAGATAAATGACATGACCATTACATTCAAAGAGCAGATCAGTGTTAACAGGCGCGCCACTGGACTTGTTACCACAGGGTCCCAAATTTGATCCATCACTCCACCACTAACTGTACTTGTTTTTTGTTTTGTTTTTTTTATTGTTGATTTTTTTTTATTCCAGATAAGACCTTGAAAAGGCAATGTATCAAAAATGTATGCAATGTATCACTTCTCTATACTGTGTAAGTTGAAGAACAAGGGTCACCTATCACCCCCCCCCCCCCCCAATAAAACAATTAGCTGTTCAGCAGGGGACATCACAGATATAGACAACTAAAATGCGATATTACATAAACAGAAAGAATTTTTTTTAAAATCAAAGCACTGAAGACACTGAACTTCAGCTCTGCAAAATGATCAGTCCTCAAGTCACAGAATTTCATTTCTGTTCATAAGATAATACAGTGTATCCACATTTTTTTTCTTTAGAAAAGTTTATTTTTATGGAAAACAAAACAATCATATGTTTCGTAAATTTCAAATTTTTAGAAAACTCCAACCCCCTATAGTCAATATAATTTGAATATTGCAAAATATTAGACAAAACTGAAATAAATATATAGAAATTATATAAACTAAGTCATATACAGATTTTTTAGCCATATAGTACATGTATACTATATCAAAAAAGAAAACAAATCTCTTTCCAGCTGCAGGCATCTAATACCTAACAAAGTGTTTGTAATTTTCAGTAAATTACATTTGATAGCAATTAATTAAACAGGATGAAACCTTTATAATTCTTGCTGAAACCTTACCTGTGACTTTTGAGATAATTGTTTAACTGGCCCATTGGAGCTAACTCCAAAACAAGCATAATACTTTCAGATTTACACACCCCTGAAATAAAGAAAGTTCTTTGCTCAAACATTGGTAAATGTGTTAAAAAAACTCAATAAAATCAATAAAAAAATGATGCAGAGGTTATGCCAACATGCTAGGGGGCCTCCATGGCCCAGTGGTTAAGGTCGCTGACTTGAGATCACAGGTCCCTCACCGCTGTAGGTTCGATCCTCAATTGGGTCGAAATCTTTCATGTGAGGAAGCCATCCAGCTGGCTTACGGAAGGTCGGTGGTTCTACCCAGGTGCCCACTCGTGCCTGAAATAATGCCCGGAGGGGCACCTGGGGTCTTCCTCCACCAATAAAACTGGAAAAATTCGACGAAAAAATCTCGGTGGGACGCTCTAGGATGGCCCGACTTGAGTGTACGGTCGCCCATATGGGCTTTCCGGCGGCGACCTTAAATAAACGCAATTAAAAACAAAAAAATAATCCAACATGCTGACAAAAATTAACACAAGTAGAGTAGAAAAATTGATTAAAAAAATGTGCAACTAAGAAAATGCTGACTTTGCAATTTTGACCTCAAAAATATTAAAGTTCAAAATAAATTAACTTGGTCAATCAGATTTTAATTTTATTTATTTTTTGTCAAACAAGAATATACATGAAATTTACTGAACTTGTCAATCCTGTTTTCCCACAGCTAAAAACATGTTATCCTCTAAGGTAATGCAGAAAAATACATATGAGTCGCGTCATGACAAAACCAACATAGCGGGTTCGCTATCAGTTTCTCTACTTGTAATAGGGTTTGTAGGCGAACAGCATGAATCCTGATCAGACTGCGCGGAGGTCGCAAACGCATTACATTGGTTTTGTCTTGGCGCGGCTCATATAAAGAGACCAGTATCTCACTGACCTCAAAACTCCATATTCAGTAGAAGAGGAATCACTGTTTAACGACTTACAATAACAATTGTATATTTTGGTCAAAATCATTTCATTCTCATTTTGTTAAAAATTAATTTACACTAAATAATTGATGTAGATTTTGTATGAAACTCTGTCCAGTGACCATAAAAATATTACAACAATATGATTGTACAGTTTGTTTTCATAAAACTATCTTAAAGGCCCATTATGCCTCACATATGCTTTCATTTTAATTTCTTTGAAAAAAACCAACCCCTTTTATTTTTGGTATCTTGCTACAGTTTCAAACAATTTCTCATTTACCATATAAATGAACTACCTCTTGCATAGATGAACTTCCTTAAGCTACTTTAATGACACATAGCTGCCATTCATGGATTTTTTCAGTTGTTAAACATATAACATGCTCTAAATTCACTATTAAAACATTTTACACACATGTTTGACAGTTCTAAAAGAATTTAAAAAATATGGATTTCTGAGGCATAAAATGTGCCTTTAATACGCTTGAAAGTATTGACCTGAAGTACTTACCTATCATACGGACGATGTGTTTATGACTAAGGGGCATCATTATTTTAGCTTCTTTTAACAACTCCGGCTGTAAATTATATAAACATTTTTTTTTAACAAACACAGAAAAAATATATTGCTGTAACAACATGTATATCCAATACAAACAAAGATGCATTTTGGCCAAAAATGTACATGATCCAATGTAGCCAAAAATGGTAAAGTAGTTCAACAGTAGTAAAGCATACATGTCAGCATATATAAAAGCATATGAGCCTCGCCATGACAAAACCAACATAATGGGTTTGCTACCAGCATGGATCCAGACCAGCCATCGCATCCACGCAGTCTGATCAGGATCCATGCTGTTCGCTTACATACTCTATAACAAGTAGAGAAACTGAAAGCGAACAGCATGGAATCTGATCAGACTGCGCGGATGGGCAGGCTGGTCTGGATCTATGCTGGTCGCAAACCCATTATGTTGGTTTTGTCACGGCACTGCTCATATGTGTAAATGAATTGCATATGTGTAAATGAATAGCATATGTGTAAATGAATAGCATATGTGTAAATGAATTGACTTACTTCCTGTGCTGATGGGCAATCTTCCTGTTTTAAAGTTTTGATCGCCACAGGAACCGGCTGACCACTTCTTAAAGTACACATTCCTTTACAAACTGACCCAAACTGACCAGACCCTATAGAAAAGGAAAACATATATATACTCATCAAACTTTTTAACAGGGGTCTGTGATATCAATGAAAATGTACATAATCATAACTCAAATCTCCTTGCAAGTACTTAAAAGATGTAATACAGTCTAAACTAGAAATGTGTCCATAGGACACGGGTGCCCCCACCGCGCCACTGTTTTGTCAATCTTTTTACTAAGTCAAGGGAAATAACTCTACAAATACTGGATAAATCCACAAGCGAAACCCCAGGTGCAAATCTAAATATGCTGAGCAAGCTGCCCATAAGGTTTAATGACTATGTCAAATCCTTTTTGAGTAACTTGCGACACATGTTGAAAATTGCAAAAAATTTCTAAGTGAAGGGCAATAACTCTAAAAATACTATATAAATCCAGACGAAAATACCTGGTGCACAACTGCACATGCTGATCAATATTCCTGTAAAGTTACATGACTCTAGGTCAAATACTTTTTGAGTTACGTGCGACACATGTTGAAAATTGCAAAATTTTACTAAGTCAAGGGCAATAACTCCGAAAATACTAAAAATATCCACACGAAAATACCCAGGTGCACAACTACACATGCTGATCAACATTCCTGTTAAGTTTCATGACTCTAGGTCAAATACTTTTTGAGTTACGTGCGACACAAAAGTGAACGGACGGACGGACGGAAGGACGGACAAGGGTAAATCTAAATGCCCGCCACTAACGTGGGGGCACAATAAAACATACTTTCTATGAAACAAAAATCTTTCTGAGTCTTCTTGTTCTGTAAAGAATTTTAAAGGAACTCTACTGAGGTCCAAAGGCATCAAAACATAAAATTTGAAAATTATACAAATATCAAGTGAGGCACTTAAAATGAAAAAATCTGCAAAGGATAACAAAGATATATACTAAAAAATATAATTAAAATCATTTTTATTGTGATTACATTGTATTTGCCAAAAATCAGTGTAAATTGCTTTTTCGTTATCTCAAAAAAAAAAAATTCCCATCCTGTCATCAAAAATTCTCAGTGCAGTCCCTTTAAATATATTGTTAAAAAGTAATTCCCATTATTGTCTAAATGCCATCAAACCACCCCTCTTAACCATGGCAACATTCTTACTCCAATTAAGTAAAGAGGTGACATGTGTTGAACATTTTATACAGACTGCAAATATCTCTACTAATTTCTACCAAGTTGTTTTATCAAGTAGTCTTAAATTCAATGTTTGTATTCATTTTTCATTACTTTTCGGGGGCTGGAATTTATGCAACATGTCCCAGTGCTGATGTCAGAGAAACACCTAAAGTGAACTTTTGACCATTATTTTTGGCTTAACAAGACAACTGAGTAGAACAAAAACCTATACTGAATTCCGTAGATAATTGCTAAAAAAAATTCACCACTACTGATGAATTTAGAACTTGTAGCAGTGGTGACCTGTTGCCTAATACCCCCTTCATACCTTCTTGTATCTATGATAAACATTGTTTATTATAATATAGGATTAGGATAGGGGGGCATGTGTTAGACATCAGGCACCTGTGGGTTGTGAGGGGCATGTGAAGAGCTTTACAAGGTTTTTTTTGTTAATTGAGTGCTTGCAGTGCTCATACCCCATTTAAACTAACAGAATTAAACCAGGCATATTCAAATTAAACTTCAAACATTGAGCAAACCAGGACATAAATACCACTACTTTAATCTGACAGCCTTACCAAGTGTTTCCTGAATCTCTATCTGACTCCGCTTAAGATCAAAATCCTTTAACGTTCTTGGCACACTGCCATAAATATCCTCCAACTTGTCAGCATCCATCCCAAGTCGCTGAAGTGTAACACGTCGACTGTCAAATCCAATATGGCTATCTGACAAAATATAAAACAAAGTCAACATTTTCATAATTCTATACTGAAGAAATTCAATCTGATTAAAATCAAGATCTGACGGGCACCAATAAGAGGTCGCTTTCTCATGACCTTTTAAACAGCCAATCAACAGCTTTCGCAATTTCAAAAGTGATGAGGTTTCTAATTTTTACTGCTGTGTAGGTAATTTTGACAATTTCAAGTTGTCCATAGAGTCGGCAGGTAATCTGGCATTGAATTAATTACTTCCAGTTTGTTTTAAATTACTTCAAACAATTTTTTTTTCTAACAAAAAAACCAACAATTTGTTTACTTCCACAGAAAGTGATATTTTGATACTTTGTCTACCAGTCAAAATGCAAGATATGCAGACATTATCAATACATGCAATATATCTTGCATGAACAGGCACCAGAGTAGAACCAACCACCTTCCATAAGCTAGCTGGACAGAAGTCAGCAACCTTAACCACTAGGTCAAAAAAGTCCTTTACAGCTATTCTCATATTCATGTGCTTGAAATGAAGCACCTGAGCTGACATTTTGTGTTTTGACTACTATCTGCAAGAACTCAAAATATGAGCCGCCTCACGACAAAACCAACATAATGGGTTTGCGACCAGCATGGATCCAGACCAGCCTGCGCATCCGCGCAGTCTGATCAGGATCCATGCTGTTCGCTTACAGACCCTATAACAAGTAAAGAAACTGATAGCCAACAGCATGGATCCTGATCAGACTGCGGGGATGTGCAGGCTGGTCTGGATCCATGCTGGTCGCAAACATACTATGTTGGTTTTGTCGTGACACGGCTCATATTATTTTCTAGAAATACTCACTCCCTTGAGATCCTTCCCAGTCACCAGCTGCTAGTAGACGGTTTTGTGCCTCATCTGGTGTCGGGGGTAATTCTCTTTTTGTATTAACTTTATTTAGAATCCTATCTTTAAGGCTTGGTCGCTTAGCAACAGATGGTAATGGAGGAGGGGTTTCTTGACCCTAAAACACAATTGTAACTAGTTAGGAACTTCTTGCCTTATCATATATATCACATCTCATTATTCAAATGCTTTGTAAAATATCATGCCTTTGTATTAAAAGTTATTAATAGCTTACTTATTTAGCTGAAACTTTTTTATCTAAAAAAAAATACATGTAAGGTTTCCACTTTAATGTGAAAATGAAAATCAACATTTTTATTCTGATCACAATACAGCTGTAATTATCATTCTGTTAAAAATGGAACTTACAGGTATAGGCGGGACTGGTACACTGGGTCTCCGCCTTGTAGACTTCATTAAATAGTAATCTAAGTTACCAAGATTACAATCCATGTATTCTGAAAAATGGGATAATCAGCATTAATAATATTAATAATAATACAGGGCGACCTCTACAGGGCTGCCCTCTGTATAACAATAACATCTTTACAATAAAAGAAGATATAACAAAGAAGTTAACCGCTCTATGGCAACAATGCCAACAACAACCAAAATATTTGTCTCCCAAAGAGTGTTGCTGCAAGCAATTGTATTGGAATAATATAATTATAAACTGGGAAAATTATAGTAATGCATCATGATAAATCTTTAATACTCATTTTTAGGGAAAATTTTCTGATCCTAATAAGATAATTTCATATAATCTTTCATTCCTCCATTGGCAGCTACATAACACTAATCTAAACAAAATACCTAAAAATATCTAAAAATTTTGTTTATAAAACACAGTTATTGAAGATTTTGTAGTCAATACTTGCTTTTCAGTAGATACATGTAGTGAAACTATATTTTGATAATTTCACAGTGAAATTATATTCTATATATATTATATATATTATTTGTTTAAAGAAAGTTTTAACCCCAGGGCCCTTATTTGAACAAAAATGGTAGACACCTATTAGAAGATGTCTCATGCTAAATATCTTAGCTCTCGCTATTTGGGTTTTTTTAAAAGAAGATTTTTTAAGTTATACTATATACAAATAAGGAAAATCAATGACCCCCCGGGGGCCAATTTTGACCCCAGGGCATTTATTTTAACAAACTTGGTAGACACTGACTAGATGATATTTCATGCCAAATATGTAAGCCTTAGCTCTTACAGTTTTCTAAAAGAAGATATTTTAAGTTTTTTCTTTCGGTTGCCATGGCAACCAGACTTCTGCTTGGAATTAAACTCTTTGAACAATATTTAAAGTTGACTACCAAAGGAACATTCCTGCGAAGTTTGGATGAAATTGGCTTGGCGGTTTATGAGGAAATGTCGTTTAAAGTAAAAGTTTACGGATGGACAACGGACAGACGAAAAATGATCACAAAAACTCACCAAGTCACTTTGTGACAGGTGAGCTAAAAATTGGTTCTGTAAAGAAATTCATATGAGTGGCAACCAACTTTGTTTTTAGTACTTTGTACAGGTAATGAAAGAGCACTTTGCACTGATAATAAACTCAAGTTCTATTCAAGATTTAACAGTTAACACCCAGTAAAAGGGTTTAAAAAAGTTGCTTAACCTTTCCAAACTTATTTCAAATATCAAGTATGGTCCAAATGGATAACAATACTACTAGTTTATATGTGTAAAAAGTATTTGTAACTGGATTACTAAAAGTTAGTCATTTTGACTAATTCTGCCATGTAAAGTCATGTGCTCTCCTTCATGATATCATTGAATCATGACATCATAATGTTCATATTGTACAAATTAATCTGTAGTATATAATGAATTTTGTTTCCTTTTTGACATGATATTTGCAAGTGCTTCTTATCATCAATCATATTTTACTTCCTAATATAAGTGTATCTCTCATGATATTGCCATCTATCCTCAAGGTACTTTATAGTGGTTACCCAATCAAAGAACTGGTCAAATTTGTTCAGGATTGAACATAAATTGTCCCTTTCAATCCTTTTTTGGAAGTCATTTTATACAAAAACCAACTTTAATGCACAATAAAGTGCAGTTAAATAAAGTACAGAGATAACCATAGTTATCATAAACCTAGCTCAACGTTTAAATATAGATGTAAATGTAAAGAAGGCTTCATACTTTTAAGCTGGTCTGCGTTGAATCCAGGACTAGCACATGGTTCTGTTAACTTGCACAATAACCCATCTTGCTTGTTGTGGTAGTGGTCAACTAACTGAAATCAAAATAAAATAAATTTAAAAATCTTTACAGCCAACATCACTTATTTGGGATTATCACATGCTAATAGCATATTTTCATATTGCCAGTGTTACATTGGTCATGGTTGACCATACATACTCACAAAAAAAACCAAAAGTTTTCAGATGAAATACTTTTAATCTGTGTCTTGGCCAAAAGAAGTAACTCTTTACTCATGTCTATAAAAAAGTCCCAAAAGGCTGTTAAAATAATGAGTGATGAGTGATTTAAACAATGGTAAGATTCTAATTGTTGTTAAAAGATTTTTTATGCCCCCGCCATGTAATGGCCGGGCATATAGTGTTACCCTGTTCCGTCATTCCGTCCTTCCGTCATTCTGTCATCATCCGTTTCTGTTCATTATCTTAAGAACGGTTGCACACATTCAACTCAAATTTGACATATGGATATGTCATGAGAAAATACAGGTCAAGTTCGAATTTGGTCATGGTTCAATGATTTTTGGCAGAGTTATGCCCCTTTTACATTGAAAATAATATGAAATTTTCAGTTTCCGTTCATTATCTCCCCAACGGTACAACACATTCAACTCAAACTTGACATATGGATATGTCATGAGAAAATACAGGTCAAGTTCGAATTTGGTCATGGTTCAATGATTTTTGGCAGAGTTATGCCCCTTTTACATTGAAAATAATATGAAATTTTCAGTTTCCGTTCATTATCTCCCCAACGGTACAACACATTCAACTCAAACTTGACATATGGATATGTCATGAGAAAATACAGGTCAAGTTCGAATTTGGTCATGGTTCAATGATTTTTGGCAGAGTTATGCCCCTTTTACTTTGAAAATAATATGAAATTTTCAGTTTCCGTTCATTATCTCCCCAACGGTACAACACATTCAACTAAAACTTGACATATGGATATGTCATGAGAAAATACAGGTCAAGTTCGAATTTGGTCATGGTTCAATGATTTTTGGCAGAGTTATGCCCCTTTCACTTTGAAAATAATATGAAATTTTCAGTTTCTGTTTATTATCTCCCCAACGTTACAACACATTCAACTCAAATTTGACATATGGATATGTTTTTGGAATGCCCAGGCCAAGTTCGAATTTGGTCATGGTTCAATGATTTTTGGCAGAGTAATGTCCCTTTCACTTTGAAAATAATATGAAATTTACAGTTTCTGTCCATTATCTTCCCAACAGTATTACATATTCAACTCAAATTTAACATATGGATATGTCAAAGGAATGAGCAGGTCAAGTTGGAATTTGCTCATGGTTTGATGATTTTTTGGCAGAGTTATGTCCCTTTCACTTTGAAAATAATATAGATACATCTTAGGAATAAGCAGTTTAAGCTTGAATTTGGTCGTGGTTCAATAATTTTGGACAAACTTTTCTTTCCTGAATGTTGGAAAAATTTTGAACTTTCAGTTTCAGCACTCATACTTTTGTGGAAATGTATGTAGCCATTATTTTGGCTACAAATATGCAATATGCTATTTTCAAAAGGTTAAGACTGAATAATTTCAGTGCATTGAACATTGTATGAAAATGGTTTGTGTTAATATTGTAAAGTTTTAAGGGCTTTGAACTTAAAATGAAAAAAATAATTTGTGCAAACAAATTTGGAACTAAATATTATAACATCTGAAATTTTGGCTGCATGCGGGGGCATCCGTGGCATGATGACACATTTCTAGTTTTTAAAGTGTTTAATACCATTTATCATCAGACTTATGACATAATGTTTTAAAAATGGCCGACACATGGTCTGTGTCTAGCCCATTGAAAGTACTTATGATTAAATATGTTGTTGTTTCCTTATGTCAATTCATAGAAATAAATAAAGTCACAGTGGATAACAATTATCTGCATGATTTTTTCATTGTTTTCCTTCCTGTTTTAAAGTTTTCCTGCTTGTTTCAAAGTGAGAGGTGCAATGAATGACAGTATGCCCTGCTATTATCAATATGAAAATCTTGAAAGTCCATTCTTAATTTAAGATATAAATCTTCAAATCACAAGGGCCAAATATCGATCTCTTTGCACAGAGCCAAAATATTTCTTTTCATTACCTCCTTTCACAAAACCCAAATATTAATCTCCCTTTAAAAAATCTTAATATTTTTTTCCAATAAGCTCTCACCTCAACTTTCAATTTTGACAACTTAAAGTTTAAAAAGTAGTAATATTGTGCACAGACCATGTTTCATGGAAGAAATGAGAAAGTTCGTGAAAAATAGATCCCTTTGAAGATATAAGCATTTACATGTTTTCTTAATTTCAAGATTTTTTGAAGTATTTATTACTCTTATAACAAACCATCATAATGCAGTCAAATTTCGGTCCATCCTGGATTCCAAATTTATTGTTTTCATCTTTATCTATCAAATAATGTCTTGTGTCCATTTGATAACTAATACATATGGCAAAGGTCTTCTTGTCTTCTCGTAGTCGTACACTGAAATATAACATCATAATGGATATAATCTTTATATGACAAACCCATACTGGCATGCCAGCAGTTCCTGTACAGAAGCAGTACCCGTATTTTTCATTTATGCGCTTGAATTTTACTTGAATAAAATAATACTATGCTAGCCTCTATAATCATTTTATTCTACTTGTTCAATAAATTTAGTGTTGAACGTACACTCTATACAGTTTTCATTGTTTGATACAATGTAGTTCCAAATTTTGACAATACATTGTATGCGAAACATTTCCCCAGATTTCACAACCATAATTGGTACCATATTTCTATAAAAAATCATGGCCGGATTTATAATTTACTTACAGAAATTTGCCATCTTTGTGTCCTGAAGTCCTGAGTCTATTTTCAGAGTCTACTCTATTTATTTTCCCATGATACCAGGGTTGCCGTGTATGTAAATCTTTAGCGACCATGATGACTAAATGCTCACGCTGTGCTCCCAAAGCTCGCTCTTTGTTCACTCCCTAAAAAATCAAAAAGATCTTTAGATGATTTTAGAAGTATTTTCCTTATTCAAGGAGTACCAACATTTCTATAATTAAAAGAGCACCTTGATTTTATGACCATTTTTTGTTTTGCTACCATTAACATAGTTACCAGTGACTTTGACCTTTTAACCTAAAATTGGGGGTTGACAAGCAAACAATCAAGGTGCATCTACATAATCATTAAGCTTCTAAGTAACAGTGTAATATTTACAAAAAACTTTTCAGAAAAAAGTTAATCAACATTGACACAGGTCCAAAGTGGGTCATAACAGTGTAACTGTAACTTAAATCTATGTACAGACTTCCAAAGTTAAGCATAGCACATGTTTTTCTGTGAAAAAAAGTTTAAAAGCAATAGGTTATTTACCATTTGATTTCACTTGTTCAAAAGTAAAAAAAAGGAGTTACTTGTAGAAAATAGGCAAATGCTCAAATACCCCTGAACACTTAACATTATCATACTGCATTGTACATGCCTGATAAAAAACTAAACAAATTTATATATCCATGTACAAACACTTTCACTAACAAGTTTTCAAATATTTTACAAAAAAAAGGAATATTACAAAAGCATAGCTTTACCTTTATCGAGTTAGCTTTTCTAATAAGTTCGTGTTCAAGGTCACTATAGGTCATGCCCCTAAATGCAACAGGAGCTTGTGAAGGGTGTCTATTACATCCCACAGTCAATAATGTGACTATCCCATCTTTTTGTGACTGGTGGTGATAAATTAGTTCTATAGGCCCTGAAAATTTCTTCCCCGACGGAATCATGTAAGTACCATCTGTCTGTTTCTCAATAACATAGTGGTGTACTCTAAAATATAAGATAGATTTATTATCAATAACATAGTGGTGTACTCTAAAATACAAGATATTTTCATTATCAGAAACATAGTGGTTTTCTCTAAAATACAAGATAGATTCATTATCAATAACATAGTGGTGTACTCTAAAATACAAGAGAGATTCATTATCATTAACATAGTGGTGTACTCTAAAATACAAGATAGATTCACTATCAGTTACGTAGTGGTGTATTCTAAAATACAAGATAGATTCATTATCAGAAACATAGTGGTGTTCTCTAAAATACAAGATATATTTATCATTAGTAACATAGAGAAAAACTCTAAAATATAAGATAAAATTTGTTATCAGTAACATAACTGGTCAGTTAGGTTCAAGGGACTTCACTAAAAAAAAGTCTTGGGTTTTTTGACATAAAGGGACAAGATTTTTTTCAAGATTTTTATTGTTTTTGATTAAAGTCTTTAACAATAACTTGTATGCAAAAATAAGGATCTTTTCCAAACTCTGTTTTTCTAGAATAATAATTTCTATTGGGCAAAATGACCTAAAAGTGAAAAGGGTTTCAATTAGGAAACATCCATTAGGGAAATTTAACATAAATCAATAAGTTATTTTTAGAATTAAATCACTTCCTTACTTGCTGGCATGACATAAACTTATAGCATAGTTTCCCAATGGATTTATGCTCTCTCTCAACAAGAACATTCCTTCTACAGCGCCACTTTCTTTCAGAATTTCCTCTGCTTCATCGCGAGTTATACGACCATAGAAATACGGAGCAGATGATGGCTTTGTAGGTGGTTTTGAACTAAAATTTGAAGCCATATTTAGTTGTCTTGCATTATTTAATTGCCTCTTGTATCTATACTCATAACTGTAGATCTTCTGTCACATGTACTTATGCTGTAAATTCTGTAAATAAACAAGAAAGTTTTGTTATTTACACTTTACTAAATGGTTTAATAGGATATAAATAAAAAAGTGTGTAAATTCATTAAAATTATCTTATCTTATAAAGTGATTACATCTCCTTTGTTTGTAATTCTTATATTTTTATATATAGTATTTGAGGTAAAAAGCATTTTTAACTGATAAAAAAACAAAGGTATGTAGCTTTGATAGAATATTACAATATTCCTGGCAAGTTTTTGAACAATCACTGTAATACCAAGAGGAAAACCTAGGATCGCTTATCCATTCTGTTTATTTGCTTAATAAAGATAAGTAAACAAAATGTATCTTTGCCAAATTCAGTACATGTATCTGTTGTTTTTTTTGTTTTTTTTTTGTATTCTACTTTTTTTTTTATAATATGAAAGAATCAATTCAGTTAATATCTGATACTGTTACTTTGCACTTTAAAAAATTACGGTAAAAATGTATGAAAGATGTGATAATCAAATCAGACAGAATATTATAAACATAAAGAAAAGTGATAAACCAATAATAATTTATCAAAAAACTCAAGTTTCTCACTATATGTTATGTTTATAGCGCTAAGAACAAAAACATGGACATTATTAGGAATACCTTAGTTTGGAGGGCAACTCACGATAAATTAATTATAGATAAATTAATAAACTTTATTGTAATCAATACATGTTTATAAAGCATGACAAACTATTTTTTCTTGGTTGGGTGTCAAGTTTGGCAATGTTCTATTTATCCATTTGCTACATGTCTAAACATAATTATCTTCCATAATTTAGTCAGATAGATTAGTTACACTTAAGCTTAGGTTACATATTGATTCACAGAAAAATAAAAAAAAATACAAATACAATGGGCACTGCCCGATTAAGCTATTTTTACAGAATCAGAGGCTTTTACGATCTTGCTGATGATTTTAAATCTAATACCTTGTGTGCTCATGAATTAAACAGTCGCCAGGTGTCTTCTGGCCGAACTTATTTTACAAAAAGCATACAAAAGAATAGGCATCTGCCGCCCAATGTCCGGACAGCGCCTATGGATAGGATGGATGCTCGACATTTTATGATATTCTATTATAAATCAGTCAGTTGTCAATATGCCAGCAAAGAAGGCAGTTGCTCGAGGCAAGGGGAAGGCCAAGCAAATGGTCAGTAAGAGTGACACTGAACCACCACTGTTTGCTGTTCCTTCAATTATATTTTGACTTTGACTTCAGAATCATCCGCGTAGACATTCTTTCTCAATGAGACAGTTCATGTTGATTAAATAAATAAATATTCAAAAGTACATTTTTTTGGCAATAACAACAAACTCAAGCCACAATTACAATCAAGCCGTCCAGTCTCCAGACGAATACACGATAACCTCCCGTTGCTTGTCTATGTATCGTCCAGGTACCGGGCTATAATCATTCCCCAACTAATGTGTATTCAGGCGCTGTCTTTAAATAAATTCACTGACCACAAAATGCGGCAAGATTGAGCAAAAAAAGCTGTGAACTGCGACTTTCATGACATTAATGCAAGAATATTGGAACAAATAATTCAAACAACAGATAACACAGACCTTATACGCAATGTGTTACACAAGAAGTGGACACTTCAGGAAACATTGACTGAGATGCAAGTCAAAGAGGATACTTCGATGCAAGTCAGAGCAATGGGTCAAAGAAATACCCATGATGTTGCTAAAATTAGCAGAGAGAAAACATACGAGAGCAGGCACACAGATTCAAGATCAACAGATAACAGTGGAATTTGTAAATACTGCAATAGGATACACCCACGACAAAAAGAATTGTGTCCTGCTTATGGTAAAATATGTAGTAAATGTGGGAAAAGAAACCATTTTGGGGCAGTTTGTCTGACAGAAATTCTAAACATGGCCTCATCAAAAAGATCCTGTGAAGATTTGCTCCAAATATTAGTCTTCTAGGTCGCATATTACCCCATGGTGAACTAAATGTAGCAATAGCTCTTGACTCTGGATGAAGTGTTAGTTGATGGTACCTTTCTTTTAAATCCATTTTAGAAAATATCTTGCAATCATGAAACTTACAAGTAAAATCTTTAATAACCGGTGCCTGTAAAATTCTGTTTCGCTCCATATACTTACAAAATGTATTTGGTACTCTCAAATCTACACATGCCCTTATCATATGAGGTCCCAATGACTCTTTACTCATATTGCAATATCTCGGCTTTGGTTGGACAACCAGAGGTGAACACAATGTTATAGGCTCTCCTGGATCTACACACTCAAAGATCTGTTCTTTTATGCACTCATCTTACCATTCTCGTAAAGGTGCCTGAAGGTAATATGGCGCTGGTCTAGGCTTTTAAGCAACAGGTGTAGTATTTTCCTTCATCGAAAATTTCACAAGAAATTCTGTATTGTTTTTCTTATCTTCAATTTGTCCTATGCCATGAAAAACTTCCTGATGACAGTTCAATATTTCATCTATTTCAGATTGCGCTTGTATATTCAGAATGGAATTGACTATCTGTCTGGTCGTATTTCTAACATGCCCAGATCAAAAAGTGTCTTTTTGCTCAACAATGGTGGAGAATTTATTTTCCCTTCAAGAACAACAAATGTTGTTTCGGTTCCTCTTGTTTCATTCCTTACTGTAGCTCTGAAAACAACAGATACCTTCAGTCTGTTTTGGAGTGTATTTACAAATGTACATTTGTGTAATTTCAACTTGGATTTTTCAAGAGCTATATGTTCTGAAGTACCACGCAGTAATTTATGAAAATGATGTTCATCCATAACATTAACATCTGCTCCACTTTGACAGTTCCATGTGAACAATGACATCATTAATCGTTAATTACAATTGAAACTGTTTTTATGAAATCACCTACTCTGTCACTACTGTGAATTTCTTCTTTACCAATTCTAAGATGTTTTACTGAAACATCAACAAAATCAAGATCTTGAGTATCTGAATCATCTATATCTGACTCACCAGTGGCACATCGAATGTCTGAACCAAAGGGACGACATATTCATTGGAGGTGTGACTATGAAAGATCACAACAAAACACTTAAAGCTGTACTTGAATGAGCTAGAGACTTCAGTATCACATTCAATAAAGACAAATGCCAATTTGGTATACAGGACATGGAGTTCTTTGGATATCGATTTACCAGTGAAGGACTTAAGCCAACAACAGAAAAAGTTAGAGCTGTTAAAGAATGTAAAGCTCCAGAATCTAGAGATGCAGTAAGAAGTTTTCTAGGCACGATTGGATATCAGATTCTTTCAAACTTTATTCCAAGATATGAAGTTTTGACAGCACCATTGAGAAGATTGACTGGACAAAATGTACCATTTCATTGGGGCCATGAAGAAGATATGGCTTTCCAGAAGCTTAAAGACAGCATTACAAATAAGAATTCCATGGTGTTTTTCAATCCAAGGAAATCTACAACTCACTGTAAGAACTGAGGCAAGTTTCCATGAAGGATTATCAGCTGGATTATTTCAAAGGACAAGCAAAGGTTTGCAACCAGTGCATTACATCAGCAGATTGTGACAATTTTGCGTTTCAAAGAAAGTCTTAAAAAAGGTCCTAACTTATGACTCCTATACTTATGACCAAAAACAGTCCTAAGTCTAGGAATGTTTAAAGGTATCTTAAGATTGTCCTAAGTCAAAATCACTCCAAAACCAAAAAACTTTTTATTGAATTTTGTTTTTATTGAATTTTGTTTTGAAAACTATATAGAATGATAGATAATGGTCTAACTAAGAAAATAAATCCGAACACCAATATCTTTAATTCAGTCATTAACGCTGTACAGACGTTTAAAGAGTTGTTTACATGACGTCACAATGTAGCGCTAAAATATCGCGTGCAAAACAAGACGCATATTACTGCGCGCTGTACAATTGCAGTTGGGGGTTTGTAACCATTTTTTACTATGAAATTAAATAAAAGGGTTATTTCATCTTTTATTGTGAAATATGGTATATATTTTCACTCAACATGATAAGAGGGCAATACATTACTTTGTATACTTGCTATGATCAATTACACAGTAAATCCAATCCATAAAAAAGATCCCCAAAAATAGTATTGTCTGGGTGCTTGGGGACTTCAATATGCCAAGCATCGACTGGTCAACAGAATCCCTGACAGAAGGTTGTAAGTTCCCAAACATATACACTTCTTTCCTTGAAAATCTCATTAACTTGAACCTACAGCAAATGGTCAACATCCCTACCAGAGGTAACAACGTCCTTGACCTGTTCCTCACAAACATGCCTTCCCACGTACATAGTACAAAAACCCTACCTCCCTTAGGCTCCTCAGATCATGACATAGTCTTTCATGAAATCAAAATTAACAGAGGGCATCCACTTCAATCAAAGAGGGAAATCCAATGTTATAATAAGGCAAACTGGAATTGTTTAAAAAATGACGTAAGTAAATATGCCAAGGTCTACAGTGAAACACACCACACTGATCCCAACAAAGCCTGGATTTCCTTCAAGGACGCACTAAACCACCTTTGTTCTATTCACATACCAACTAAAGTCACTAAAACACGTCGAGATCTACCATGGTTAAACAAGTCCATTATTCGAAAAATTAGGAAACGTGATAGAACTTATTCAAACATTAAAAGGTCAAAGTCCCCATCAAATGATTTGGTCAAAAAGCTCAAAGTACTTAAAAGTGAAATCCAAAGAGAAACTAGGAAAGCATACTGGCAATACCTAGACTCTGTCATTTTTAGCCAAGACTCCCAAAATGTGAAAAATAAAAAATTCTACCAATATGTTAAAAGTAATAAAACTGAAAGCTGTGGTGTGGCACCCCTCAAATCAGAAGGTCAAACATTTACTGATCCAGTCGCTAAAGCAGATATCCTTAACTCCCAGTTTGAGTCTGTCTTCTCTCGGCCCCAGCCCCTTAGCTTATCCCAGGCTTGCAAACAGAAGCTTATTCCAAAACACCACCCATCTATGCCAGAAGTATCTATATCGGAAGATGGTGTGAAGAAACTTTTAAAAGACCTAAACCCAAATAAAGCTTCTGGTCCTGACCAAATATCCCCTAGGTTATTAAAAGAGCTCCATCAAGAGGTTACTCCCATACTGACCCACATCTTCCAGATCTCACTTAAAACAGGTATTTTCCCAGAAGACTGGAAGCATGCAATAATTGCCCCAGTTTACAAAAAAGGCCCAAAATGCAAACCCAGCAATTATAGACCAATCTCCCTCACATGCATAGCGTCCAAATTGATGGAGCACATCTTAGTGTCCAATATTATGTCCTTTTATGATAAACACAACATCCTTAGCCCCTATCAACATGGCTTCAGGTCAAAACGGAGTTGTGAGTCCCAGCTAGTAAGCTTCTCCCAGGAAATTCATGACAATCTTGAAAGTGGCCAACAAACTGATGTCATAGTCATGGATTTCAGTAAGGCATTTGATAAGGTAGACCATCACAAACTTGTGAGTAAACTAGAAAGATTGGGTATAAGTTATGAGGTTACAAATTGGATCCATTCCTTCCTTAAGTCACGCTCCCAGCAAGTTGTAGTTGAAGGTCAAAAATCAGGAATTCTACCAGTTCTCTCAGGTGTCCCCCAAGGCTCGGTATTAGGTCCCTGTCTTTTCCTTTCTTACATCAATGACCTCCCAGATAGTGTCAAAGGTAAGGTTAGACTCTTTGCAGATGATACTGTTGTCTACCTAACCATCAGATCTAAACAAGATGCCCAAAGCCTCCAAGATGACCTTCATGCTTTAGAAAAATGGGAAAAAGACTGGTCCATGGAATTCAACCCAACCCTGACAAATGTGAAGTTCTTAGGATAACAAGAAAAAGAAACCCTGTAATATTTCCTTATACCCTCCATAACATCCAACTTAACTCAACTCAAGAAGCGAAATACTTAGGAGTCACTATTAGTCAAGACCTTTCATGGACCAAACATATAAACAAAATCACATCTAAAGCAAATAACTCCCTCAGATTCATAAGAAGAAATGTTAAAACTCCAAATAAAAAGATAAAAGAAACTGCATATAAGACCTATGTTAGACCTCAGGTTGAATATTGCTCCATAGTTTGGCATCCTTGGCAGAAATACCTAATTTATAAGATAGAGCAAGTACAAAGATCAGCTGCTAGATACATTTTTAATGAATATGACTATACAAGTAGTGTCTCAACAAGAGCTGTCCGTAAGACAGCGCGCTCGACTTTTTTATTGCTTGCCAATAAAAAAAGTTTTTGCAGTAAAAGGCAATACAAGAATCTCTGTATTTTTAAAGTGAACAATGGCCATGAGCATTAAGATATTTAGTGAAGAATTATTTTACTGAATTGTGTGATACCCTTGAACACTGCAGCAAAGTTTGAAATGTTTAAGTCAAAAGAGGGCTGGTAAGAAAGAAAAAAAAACTGAGTTTTTTAGTGCTTGCCTATAATACAAAACATTGACAGTTAAGGGCCATAATTCAAATAAAATCTTTGACAGAATTACCTTCTCCTGGACATGTTTGGGAATCATGATTGTAAACAAGTATTCCAACTTTCAAATTAATATCTCAAACAGTTCAGTCAAAAAGTGGACTGGTACTAAAAACTTAACCAAGATTGTAAGTCGATAAAAGGCCTTAATTTTTAAAACAAATCCTTGACAGAGTTACCTTCTCTTGCGTACAGATGGGGGTAATGATGTGAAATAGCATTAAAAGTTTCAAAGCAATATCTCAAAGGGTTAAGGCAATAAGTGGATTTTACCCATATTCAATGTATTTTCTAAGTCAAAAAGGGGCATAATTCTGTCAAAAACCTTGACAGAGTTATGTCCTCTTGTCTGTTGATGAAGGTCGTGATGGTAAACAAGTATGGTCAGTTTCAAAGCAATACCTCCAATGGTTTTGAAATAAAGTGAGGTGGTACAAAAAACTTAACCAAGCTCAATACACTTTCTAAGTCAAAAAAGGGCCATAATTCTGTCAAAAACCTTGACAGAGTTATGTACTCTTGTCTGTAGATGGAGGTTATGATGGTGAACAAGTATGGTAAGTTTCAAAGCCATACTTGTAATACTTCTGAAATAAAGTGGGGTGGTACGAAAAACTTAACCAAGGTGTGACGCCAACGCCGACGCCGACGCGAGTAGGATAGCTCCCCTTTTCATAGAAAAGTCGAGCTAAAAATGATAAATGATCTTAATTGGCAAACCCTTGAACAGCGTCGAAACATCAGTGCTGTAACCTACTTGTATAAAATCCAAAACAACATTGTTTTTGTTGACCACCAATACCTTACTCAAACAAGAAATCTGAACTACCTGATACCCTACTCGAGGACACAATATCATCAAAATTCTTTCTTTCCTAGGAGCATACGTCTTTGGAATAGCCTTCCCCTAACTGTTCAGTCCAGCCCCAGTTTAAACATCTTTACTGAGAGGCTTGACCCATTCTATAAATTCTAAACTGCACACTATGTTTTTAAATTAATAGTCTTGTAGAACTTTTATTCTTTTAACTTTTTAATTTGCATATAAACAATTTCTTTATTAACAGTTCCCTGACAACGCGCCTGCTAGTCATAATCAGAATTGATTGTTAAGCAGTATGATGTAGATGTAGATGTATTATGCCCGTGCCATTGTATTTTGTACCTTTTTTCAGGAGAGCGAATTTGTCATAAGTCTTAAGTTTAAGACAAAAGATATGACAGTTACTTGAAACGGTCTTAAGTGCAAAAACTTTTTCTCCTAAAGTTGGTCATAAGTCCTAGGATTTAGGATTAACTTAGGACTCTCCATGAAACGCAGCAGGACAAGGTTCTATTCTGTTAACAGCTCAATTTTTGTACTTTAATATTAAAATCCGTTAAAGTTTGAAAAAAATAAGCAAAATTCAAATATGGGCAAATCCATTACGCAAAATTTGCAGTTAATTTATGGTAAGTTAAAAGATTTGTTCAAACCAGGAAGATAATATGAAAATTATATCGAGACTTTTTTTAACATTTTGTTGTGGATTGTTTCTGTCATTCTATCTCCAGTATACAGAGCTAACAATAGTTAAAAAGAATCAATAAAAAACTGTTCAAAAAGTTGTTTCCAATTGAAATTGAAACGAAATGAAGTAAAATTACCTGAATTGAAACTTAAACCCGGAAGTTGAGAAATTATTTTACTTTGAGCCGCTTGTGAACTGGATAAAAGAAAATAAGTAGGCATGGGTTGAAGATAACTAATTATTATCCTTCACCATCAATTTTATTACCGGAAAAATTACTCAATATAGATTCGTATTGAAAAAAGGAAGATAAACAAAACAATTGTCAATTACTGTATGTATTAATAACAACTTCTTCAGTTATAAATTGCATTACCTCTTTAACCTTAAGTAATCCATTTCACGAAAGATAATTATTTTTCAAAGAAAAACATGTGCTATTTAACATTTTAATCATTTGAATAATGACAATAGAGTATCTATATTGAAAATGGCAAACATGCATTTGTAAAAATTTACTTCCACTTAAGTATCGTTGCAACTCAAATTACTCATCGTCAACACTATGTTAATAATATTCCATTTTGTTGTTTGGGTCTCCAGTTTGTTAATAATGTTGCTGCTATTTGCTATCTGTCTTCTTAATTATAGGACTTGCATAGCTTTTTTATAAACGTGTAAAATCTAAACTTGAAATTGTAATTTGGTTTAGGCAAAAGTAAGCAAATTTTGCTGGGGTGAGAGATGTTGCACTTTCCATATCTCTCAGAACAAACTCGAGCAAAGCCTGCAACTTCTACTTTTTATTGCTCTCTCGGGGTTTCGCCTTATCCTTTTTATATACCAACAACAGCAGGTGTCAAGTGCTGTGCGGCAGCTGCAAAATGTTCTTCACTTCAGTATTCTCGTATTTCTCTGGTCCCTCAGAATCATTGATAACAATACTTCACTGTGTTGAAGAATTAACACTGCTTAAACCGGTGCTAGGGAGCGTGGGCGATGTTTCGCTATTCATTATCTTTATTGAACACAGCTTCTTTCAAACCTAGCCTGTAATTTTCACTTTTAAACTACCGTTACCTAGTCTGCAACTTTTAGTTTTTAACTTCTTCATTCTTCTCAAGTGATCTCCCATTTTTTGAGATTTGGATAACTAAAATAGAGAAAAACAGAATCCCTAAAGAAAGCCCAACAAGGCAAAATTGAAAATGTTGCAGACTCGGTTTGATTGAGGCTGTTCACGGACGGTACTGGAAAGGGCAAGTTACCGTCCACGCCCCTTAGCACCGGCTTAAAAGCAGAATTCAACATTTAAACATGAAAAATGGTGAAATTTTGAATTTAGAAACATCCGCAGATGTGTTCATACGGCGGTTATCATAACTCGATGAAAGAGTAGACCGATGCTGTATCTGTTGTAGCAAGTATAAATAGGGAAATAGATAGTCCGTTGTATGCACACAAGTTACAATGAACAAAGAATGAATAAATGTATATATATCAAATTTTAATCTCATGGAAGACCTTATAGTTAGAATTTCTTTGAAGTCAGCTTCATCATTGTCCTAATATGCCTTAAATTGTGATTTGATGTGCTGAAATTGGAAACTTGGTATGGAACAATGTTATGAAAACTATGAATGACCGTGATATTAATGTATTCATTTGGACGGAGAGATTAAAACTTAGATACTTTATTTCTTTCAATGTAAACGAAGAGTTGAATTTATACATGTAAGTTAATATATCAATAGTCTTAATAAAATATGCAGAGATATCAACAAATGGAATGATAATTAAAATTTTAATATTATACATAAAATGTATGTACATGCAGTGAGTGTGTTGCTGTAAACATATTACATCTTATCAATCCATGATTTTACGGAAGTCAACAATTCTATCAAAAGAAATACCACAAAGCATTGTGTAATTACAAAATAATAATAGAAAAGTATACAGCCCGAGATAGAATGTAAGAAAATATCAGAATACATCTTTATTTTGAAATATACATAAAATTTTTAATTTTTGTACTGCTGACCATGGCCATTTAGTTAGATAGGATTTAGAATGACTCTAAGTACTGCAGCCTGATCTTACCTTTTGTGTTGTGTTTAAAAGAGGAAAGATATATGTTAGAAAACTGGCTTTGCCCGCAAAACAAACCGTATGTTTTTTCTCATTTTTTACCCACTGTGGTCTTAAAGTACATACTAGAAGGTATATTGGGAGAGGGTGGGGCAATATCGTTTTTTTTAGCAAATTTAGATCAACACGATGTGACGTAAAATATGGTGGCTGATTTGGAACGCTTTAGTGCGTCGTGTTGCCGCTATCCACAGCACGACAAAGCGCAACACTGTGCGTTGTCGAACTTTAGTCTTTTCGTCCTGTAGCTAACGATGCGCGCCAAACAGTTGTCGCGATGTCACGTTTGGCTTAGGTATTTGTATACATAAGCCAAGTAACATCGCGACAACGTGCCGCACGACATCGCCCCGTTTGGCATGCTTCGCAGTGCGTTTCGCTAGCGACAAGACGAAAAGGCGATATCCATACACATAGGTTGTGTTGTCGCTATCGCTATATAGAAACTTTAAGCGTTAAAGCGCGCTAATGTTAGCGTCACACTATGGGCGCGTCATTGAAAAATTACTATTTCTAACAGTTTACTGTTCTTATTTATATGTGATAAAAAGAATATTATATTCGTATAGATTCAATACGAAATTTATTGAACTCGTTAAATAAAACAATATCTATGCTCGCAAGAGGCTCGCATAATATAATTTTATTCAACTCGGTTAATAAATTTAGTATTAAACTACACTCATTCAATATCCTCTATATATGTACCATATTTTCGTCCTGTGCATATCTTTGAATTGTCAATGGAACAAAATGTTGTACGCCACAGAAGATTTATATTGTAAAATTGTGTATTTTTATATATTTTATATGAAAACTGAATACTGGTGCAAATAGCTAGTATGTTTCCTCCTTTTTACCATTCAAGCTCAAGCACATCAGATTGTCTTGCTTGTATGACTACATGGCCACAGCCACATTTATTTTCCTGTTTATGTTTATAATCATAAAGCAGTTTAGTAATTTTATGGTCTAGAACGATTTGTAATGGGAGAATGTATGCTGGAGAAAAGAAGTATCGTAAACAACTACAAAAATTAATAACGAAAATGGATCTTTACACTCGATCACTGTAAATACATTTGTAATTGCAAGGGCAATTTAATATCGGATGCTCCATTGAACCTTTGAAATGTAAATTTAGGACAAATAAAAAATGATTTCAATTTGTTTTACCTGATATGTTCAAAATCAGAAGGGTTGTTTAACACCGCATGTATACGATATCAAAGAAACAATACCGCACTGTTATAGCTGCAGTGCATGTGAATGATTTTATATCCAGATAAAGTTGACATATTGTCAACAAGTAATCGTTTAAAGGACAAAATAATTAACTGTTTTATGCAAAGTTTAATTTCAGCGGTAATTTAAACCGTAGACAAAGTGGGCACATCTCTTTCTCCCTTTTTTCTAAATCGCCGGATGTAATTTAACTGAATACGAGGCTTGGGGTTAGAAAGATAACAACATTGTTAAAGTCAATTGGAGTAAAAATAAATGAGGGTGTAAATGGATTAAACTTGTAGATAAGTTTTAAGGATTTTTCTATATGGACTTAACAAGTTTAGTTGATAAATACAACGGATCGAAATATGAAGGAATAAAACATTAAATAAACAAGTAAGTGTAATTTCGATATGTTATAAATGTGGTTTAATTTTTATGTGGAAATGAATACATTGGTAATATTTATAACTTCCATTTAATCGACCATATTATTTTATTGCATATAAGGAGAGAATTTAAGAAGAAAATTGTTTGTGTACATTTAATATATTCAAAGAAAGTTGTGTTTCAGAATAGAATTGTCATCAATGGTTAAACACGGATGACTCGGAAACCGCCGCAGGGCTGAATGTTCCTGGTAAATTGCATGAAACCAGATGCATGTACACATAATCATTTTAATTCGAGATTAGTCATTGTTTTGTCTGAATATTCAATAACACATGTTACTTTTATATTCTAAATGCCGTTTCTTAACAAGTACAATACAATTATCATAGTGTATTGATTGATTTACAAGGTACAATATGCACAGCATATTTTCTTTGATAAATACTCATTTTATACTAACTTTGTATCATCATGCATTTAATCTTCCTTATCAGCATCATAACGTGATGTTGTGGATACATTTTTCATTTGAATGGGGGTTGCCGGTGTAGCTTATTTTGGAAGAAATTTTTGTTTGTTTGACACAGTCAATAAAAGTGGAGATTAGGAGGTTGAGACTGTCGCGGCATAAGTCATTGTTTTCTTAGGTTGTGATGTTATGTACATGTACGTCGTTAAGTATTTTTTATGTTTTATATTTATGCCAATTTTATCTGAAACCTTCATTTAAATTACAGCATGATACTTGGTATGACATAAATGTTAAAAAGTCTACACTTAAACCTGGCTAAATTAGGCGGTTTTTGTTTACACAGGTGAAGTATCATTTTGACGTACATAAATTGGGGAAGTTAATAAATTAGTCACATATTTTGATAGTGATCAGATGAACTTTTGAACAGAGATATATAGATATATAAAATAACAATTTATCATGTCTATACACTGCGGATTTTGATGATTTATATATAGCTCTTCTTGATGCTTAAATTCTGAAGAAAAAACTCCAATAAATATTGAATAAATAATAGTATTTTCAAGTAATAACGCAAAAATTATTATCTTTGCGTATTTTTGACATTTAGCGCCAAATCACACGTGCGTGAAAATGCTGCGGAGACAAATTCCTCTGCATTGACCAATCATATTCTCTGATACACCGAGCATTTCTATTTCGGTCGATTGCATAGGCTTTATCAATACCGAAAGTAGGCTGTTGAGTTGAAATTTCACCCCTTAATTAGCCCAAGAGTGAACCTAGATAATTGATCAATTTATGCATTCAATACAAAAATACACATTTGAATGATAAAGTTACAGTTTACTAGAATATTCTTTCATGTCTTGTAATATTTACATAAATTATGTAAATATTGACCGCGTGTAAATGAACAGTACACACAAGTGATGTCATGCTATCGAACAGCCATATTGTGTATTGAGAAGGCTTGAGGTAGATTAAACAATTCCAGGATAATTGTGTTTATTTTCTTATA